ATTTTGACATGCCATGTCTGGCTATGACTTATCAGTGCTCGAATATCTGACCTTTAATTTGATCGAATAAAAGCTATGAAAACTTTTATGATTGTTAAAAATCTATATTCTAACTTGACATCCTTTTTTTTTAACTGAAGCAATTAAACAGTCGTACTGAAAGAAGTCATCAATCTATCTAGCATGAATGTGTGTGATTATTTAACACCCCTTGAGATAACTTCAAAGTTTCATTCTTCTTGGGATTGCTTCTAAGTTTTACTCCCCTTGAGATAACTTCTAAATTTCATTCCCGTTGAGATAATTTCTAAATTTCATTCCCCTTGAGATAACTTCTAAATTTCATTCCCCTTTAGATTACTTCTAAGTTTCACTCCCCTTGAGATAACTTCTAAATTTCACTCCCCTTGAGATAACTTCTAAATTTCATTCGCCTTGAGATAGCTTCTAAGTTTCACTCCCCTTGACATAACTTCTAAGTTTCATTCTTCTTGAGATTACTTCCAAGTTTCATTCCTCTTGAGATAACTTCTAAGTTACATTCCCCTTGAGATAACTTCTAAGTTTCACTCCCCTTTAAATTACTTCTAAGTTTCACCCCCTTGGGATTACTTCTAAGTTTCACATCCCCTTCAGTAAATTTTTTATCATAGCTGCACACCCTTTGAGAAAAAAATTCATATCTTAGTTTAACCCCACTTAGCTAAATTTTATTATGTATTTTAACACCTTTTAGGAAATTTGTTGTAGTTTCACTCCCTTTTCTTATATCACCTGAAGATCCAACATTATAAATTTGATTTCAACATATGCTATTTAAAAATTGAATTATTTTCCAATTTTAAATTTTTTCACAAGATTTGGATTTAATATTCTGTTTGCTGACCAATCAACACTCTCGACTGACCGTACTGGATACACTTTCAAGTGATTAATCTTTGTAGTAGTCCATTTTCTTCTTAATCTTTCTAAGCTCAAATTTTTCCTACACTTTTTCATTCCTAAAATAAGTTCAACAACAAAAGAAGCCACAGAAAGTGCACAAAATCCAATCCAAATTTTAAATCCAAATAAAAGGTCCTCAATATCCAGGACTTTCGGCTCTTTTGCACTTTTGTTAAACTTTAACTTTCTCGTGTAATAATTCTCAATCAGATGATTCATAACTCCGGTTGGAATCAAGTCACTGACTATTTTGTTAAGCATTCGAAAATAGAATGATGAGCCTTTGAATGTAAAAGCATCAAATGACTTCATTACCAGGAAATTTTCTAGCTTATTCCATTCAATATTGCGTGATTTTGATAGCGTCTCATAATAATTGATATAAAATTCATCCATAATAAGACCGATTCTAGCTGATGAATTTTGTGATTGTGTCATGAATGTTTTATAGTAGTCGGTTGCAGTCAATCTAACGGTGTCTGGCCTATTAAAATAAAAAATACATTATCAAAATTGTTGGACAAAAAAATATTTGGATGTAGTTGCATGCCCCTTGTGATTCGAAAAAACTATAACATTGTTTTAGAGCTCGAATTCTAGATTTTTGTTAATCTTCAAGATGAATAGATCTAAAGTAGAACATAAAATTGGATATACCCTACTATTGGCGTAGCCAGAAATTTAGGAGGGGGATGGGGGGGGGGCAAAAAAAATTTTATATTAAAAATTTAGTGGGAAGGGGGGGATTTCTATGATTTTTTCGTAAAACTCCTAGCAAAATGAAAAAAATTCTGTTAACGTCGGGGGATTTGTTTCCCGAATTTACCCCCCACCTTAGTTACTTTCCTGTACCCTAGACACACAAACAGTGGTGGCCAACCTATAAACCGCGGCACGCTATTGAGCTATGACAAATCGAGCCGTATGCTGCCTGCGGTTTTGCTCATGGCTGACCATTAAGGTGTCTCGCGGCACAAAAAGGTTGTCCAACACTGCTTTACTGTTATACATGTCTAGTGTTATACATTATAAGTGAGGGAGACACAAAGAGAGAAGCAAACTAATTGCATAAGATTTTCCGAAAACTACTCAAATCAGAATAACTTAAAATCATGTTCAACTACTCACCAAATTTCAGTATCACTCTTGATAAATAGTAGAGCCTTTCCCATCAAATAAATTGTATAGTTCCTGTCAATTAAATCTACAACTGTCTTTGGTAGTGCCCTTCTAGGCTCACTTGTCATAAATTCAAAAAATTTACTTTGAAAGCATGTCCGAAAAATCAAACAAAAGTAGATGAAAATCATTAAAATGAACCTTGAGAAGTTCCTGCTTGGCAATCGAGTCTGCGACATGCCAAAACTGATGCTGATCACATTCCAAAATGGCTTATCGATTTTGTGTCCATAGACGAGGCTGCGAGCTGACTTTGATTGCCTGTTGATGATTAAAATTGACATAAATGTTGTTATAAATGTAGCAATTACAAGAATCCACGTAATGAAGTCAAATGGAAGCAGAAACTTCTCGTACGGCGTGTACTTTTCAGCTGGAGTTAGAAGCACGTGAATCGCCATATTTGTCACAACATTCGAAAAAGCTATGTCACGTTTTTTGAGTCCAAGCGTTGAAACTTCAAAGTATACATGTGGTTGCTTTAAAGTATTATTGATGGGTAAAAGCTGGATTGTCGTGTTCATTTCATGCTTAAACCAAAAGTGATCCATCATTGCTGGCTGATAATCAACTGAGAAATTATAAATGCTTGCTGCAATCTCAAAAATGATGGGCGTGATGCTTTTAACATCAAAATTTGTCAACTTTTGATTTGGAACAGCATATCCGCTCATGTGAAAGACTGAACCGTCAAGATAAGGGACAGGAAGCAGCATGATTAGCTCACATTTGTGAAATTTTAAGAACTTTTCATGATCTTGAAGGATTGAGCTCCATTTTTGAGATTTTTTATAGAAACTGTTTAATTTGGACAAGTATGGCTGATCACAGCCGTGTGGACTAAACCACTCGATTGTAGACAGAGTCACTGTGTCCACCTCATTTGTGATGAAGTATGTAAAGTGAACTATTGAACTATTATGAGTTTTTAAACTTGGATAATTTTGATAAATGTCTGACGACTTTAACTGATCAAATGTCAAGTTGTAGATGTAAATGAGGAACTTAATTGGCTTGTCCGTTGGACGAATAATCTCAAATGCAGCCGTAATCAATGGAAAATCAATAAATGACTCAATGAAAAATACAGCTGAATAATGAAGATAATTTTTGGAACTGACCACTTTTCTTGGTGACACGGCATATCTTCCGTTCACTTTTGACAAGAAATCGAGGATTACGTCCTGTAGAAATTGAGAAACTGGCTTAAAAAGTGCTATTTTTAACTGATGTCTTTCAAATTTGTAGAATTTATCACTGACATCATGCATAACATTCGAGATTGCTGATATGTCTGGATCTGGTTCAATAATTTGTAAAAATTCGTAACTCTTTATTAATTCAAAGCTTAAAAATATCATCAAAAATAATAAACTTTTCATTATTTCCTTCAAAAATTCAAAACTGTCTTTGTTTATTGCAAGTCTCTGATCAACTAAATTTATTTTTATAGCTTACAATGTCTTGAAATAGTAAAATTTAATTACTTTACAGTCACGCGTGTCTGAGCTGTACTGATTCTGATCTATTGATTTACAGTTTAAGTTTTGAGTGTCAATTTTGCTGTCGTGAAAGGTTGATGATTTTTATCTAAGATTTTAATCTTATGATGTAGTTTCACACCCCTTTCTTCATAGTTTAGTGCCACTTGGCGCAGATGAACATCATTAAATATTGTTTTATACAATTTAAACAAATTTTGACTTCCGTTGGTCAAAATTTTTCAGCTTAATACCCCTGAGCAAATGTTTCATAACCCTTTGAAATAGTTTCATACTACTGATAATAGTTAATATTTAAGTATATTTTATTACACCTAGTATCATAGTATCATACCCCGTGAGCATAGTTTTATACCCCCTTGAGCATAGTTTCATACCCCTTGAGTATAGTTTCATACATTTTATACATATTTTTATAATTATAATATCATTTCCCTTTAGCATAGTTTAACACCCCTTTGGAATGGTTTTATACCCCTTGAGGATAATTTTATTTCCCTTAAACATAGTTTAATATCACTTAGGTATAGTTTTATACTTCCTAAGCATAAATTCATACCCCTTAAGCATAAATGCATACCCCTTAAGCATAAATGCATACCCCTTAAGCATAAATTCATACCTCTTAAGCATAAATTCATACACTGCAGCATAATTTCATACCCCTTAAGCATAATTTCATACCCCTTAAGCATAAATGCATACCCCTTAAGCATAAATGCATACCCTTTAAGCATAAATTCATACATCTTAAGCATAAATTCATACTCCCTAAGCATTCATTCATACTCCTTAAGCATAAATTCATATTCCTTAAGCATAAATTCATACTCCTTAAGCATTCATTCATACTCCTTAAGCATTAATTCATACTCCTTAAGCATAAATTCATACTCCTTAAGCATAAATCCATACCCCTTAAGCATAAATTCATACTCTTTAAGTATAGTTTCATACCTCTGAAGAATAGTTTCATACCCCTTGAGAGTAGTTTCATACCCTTTGGTCATAATTTTATCTTCTTTATACAAAATACGAATTATTTTATACTTATCATTTTCTGAATTTCTGGAAAAATAGAAGACAATCTTGGTACTTATAAAATAAAGCCTATTGTCATAAATTGTCAACTTACGATTTCTTAATTTTTATTTTTATACAGTCAAGATAAAATTGCCATTTTTATTAATCTTCAATTTAAAACTTACAAAGATCAACCTTTAAAAATGGAGATTAAAAGTAAATATTGCAAAAGAATTAAAAAGTGCAAAACTTTGCATAAGCACATAATTTTTAAAAACTTTTAAGCATTTTATTAGTATCGATCTTGCAGTCATTTAAGCAAGTCTTGTTAAGAATATAAAATTTATTAAAATGAAATTTTTGGTTGAATTGTCATTTTTTGTGCATTTTGTGAATTGTTTGGCTAATGAAGATGAAGTTCGTAAGGATACGATTGGTGAAGTTATCAAAAATAAGATGGAATTCAGTGAAATTTGTAGAAAAGATCTTGAAAAAATGTTTTACAAAAAATTAGCTCCTTTTGAAGGTGAGTTTAGGTTTTATTGACACTTATTTGGTCTCCTGAAAAAAAAAAATCTCAACTTTATTTTCAAACAGTTCCAATAAAAACGAAATCAAGCCACAAATATGGAAATTCGCATGACTTTGGAGATTTTAAAAACTGCAAAAATATCAACGAATCTCAATTTTCAACTCAGTACTGCAAAATTCAATATTTTAATGACTTGATACCACCGATTTCGGTTACACCAAAGATGTCACCTTACCAACCAGAATGGACAGACCTGGATGTGTCATTCTCACTTGGCATTTGCTTGCCAGCTTCATGTTCAGCTGAAGATGTCAAGAATGTTGTTGAAATCTCATTTAGAGATGAACAATTCAAGTTTGGATCTGAAATATCGTGCAGGAAAGGGATCAATAAGAAGCTTGGATGGAATTTTGAGAGAATTTTGTGAGGTTTTTTTGAATTAATATTTTTTAAGGTTGCTGGTGTTCTTAACTATTGCAATGAATTCAATTATCTGAGTACACTCAATATCGACGATCTAAAATCTTTAGTGCAGTGGTGTTTACCCTTTTTTTGCCACGGCACCTTAATTGTAAACAAGGATGAGAAACAGGATCCTGAGCAATAAAAAGTTTATATTGTCATGGTGGCTTTGGTGAGGTCGTGACTGTGACAACATAAACTTCTTGTCGCTCGGGGATTGATCAGTTCCAAACCCCCAAAAATGACCCCCCCCAAAAAAATGAACCCCCCCCCCAAAAAAATGACCCCCCACCACACAAAAAAATGACACCCTCCCCAAAATGACTGCCCCCTCAAAAAAATGACCCCCCCCCCCTGCCCCCCCCAAAAAAATGACCCCCCCCCCCCCCCCCCCCCCCCCCCCTTCTAAAAAAAATATTTATAATCAATTTTTTTGCAGATTAATTTCATCAATTTTAATCATTCTAATAATTTTGTCGAGTCTAAAAACCAAAAAATTCAAATTATCAACCATCATCAAAGACTTAATTGATCTCAATCCAAAGAATTCATCAACAACATACTTCAATGGACTCAAAGCCATCATCTCAATCATTGTCGTCCTGATTCATTGCTGGTTCTTCCGAATTTTCCTTCCATTCAAAAGTGGCGAGAATTTGCGAAATTTCCAAACACGATTCTCGTTCCTTATTTTGATGTCGGCGAATCTTTTTATGGAAATTTTCTTCATAATTGGCGGAGTTTTGGCTGCAAAAGGATTAAAGAATGGATTTGAGACTGGCAATAAAGCAACATGGATTATCAAATTTTATATCAAAAGGTTCACTCGACTCTTTCCAGTCTTAATTTTTCTCATCGGGCTGATTATAACCTCAAATACTGAGAATTTAGGACCATTCAGTTCTGGGGATGAGAAAGAAAATTGTAGGAAGTTCTGGTGGGGTGCATTTGCTTATAATTTTGTTGATCCAAAACAAAAGGTAAGTTACTGTGTGGATTGAGGACCTTAGCAAGATTTCGGAACTCAGAAGTGATAAAAAATAATTGACTTGTTCCACATACTTGTGTCTGAAGGTTCCTAGATCCTTAAACGAAATTCTTTAAATTGGTAGTAAGCTATACTTGACCAGGCTGTCCAATTTAACACGTTTAAGCGAGACAGCACCACTTTTTGACCAAAGTCCCGCCTAAATCTTTAATTTCCCGCTTTAATAAACATACTTTTCTTGGAAAATGCTTGAAAATTTGGTCTGTCCCGCTTATTGAGAGCTGAAACTGACCAACAACCGGCCAAAATCCGATGGACAGCCTACACATACCCAAGGCACATGTTCAACAACCACAACAGCGAATCAGTTTTCTTAATTTTTTCAGTTCGCACAGTACACCTGGTTCATGTCAATCTACTTCCAACTGGCGCTCATCGCACCATTCATCTTCATGGCAATCAACAGCAAGAAATTCTCAAAAATGTCAACAATCGCTGTAGTTATTGGAATAACTTACTTAAGATTCATTCGGGGTAGTAAAATATATCCAAAACTGATTGAGATGTCCAAAGATGGGTGAGAAATTAAACTTTTAGAATTTTAGGAAATATTTTAAATTTTAATTTGCAGAGTTACGTATGATCATGAGCTTTTGTTCGAATATACAGCTCTAAGGTTAAGGCTCTTCTCATTCTTTGGTGGAATGATTCTCGAAAAGACTTTGAATGAAAATGGAATTTATTTATTGGTGAGAAAAAAAAATTGATTTTAATAAAATAAAATGCATGATGCTGTGTAGCTAAGACGTTAGCCCAGGCGCGTAGCCAGGACCGGGATTTGGGGGACAAATCCCCCAAAGTAAACAGAAATTCCTTTATTTTGCTAGGGTTTTTGAGAAAAAATTCACATTCACCATAAAAAATTTTTTTTTTGTCCCCCCTCTTCAAATTCCTGCCTACGCCCCTGCGTTAGCCATGTGGGTAGCCTGCATTTTTGAGGGGGCTTTGGGATTTTTTTTTCTATGGATAGTAAAAATTAGATTAGGGAGGGCAATTAAAAATCATAGCGAATTGAAGATTTTTTTTTAAATTGGAAGGTGGACACTGACCATCCCCACCCCGCCAAGGGGGTCAATAGGGTCGAGGAGGTCAACGGGGTCAACTGGTTCAAGAGGATCTGGAACATTCTGAACAAGTTTTTCTATGTTTTTCTTGTTATTCTCGTATTCATCCTTGTCTATTGTTTACTTAACATATACCAAACCCCGAATCGAACCCATAAACTCACACCCATCTTACCCTAGCACATCTTCTCTGCTCTATACCTTAAATTCACCTCAAGCATGATTAGAGTTCAATTTAAAGAGCTTTTTTTCAATTGTTTTTAAACTATTTTTCAGAATACACTCAAAAATCACTCTAAAGCCTGCAAAATAATAACAGTTGCCATCTTCACCATCCTCTTAATCAGCTCAGTTCCACACATTACAGCAATATTGGACATCATCGTGTGCTTATTCATAATGATTGGCATAAATTTCTTGTTTTTCAATAATAACGGAAGTGCGAAAAAGTTTTTATCAAACAGATTTTGGTCACCAATCGCGAAAATTGGACTCAGCATTTATCTTATTTCTGGACATATTCAGAATAACCTTCGAACTTATCAAATGGAGCCACTCGAAGTTGACAGCTTTTTTCAATTTGTGAGTTTTTATGGATTTTTTTTTGTTATATTTTAAAAGTATTTTTTAATTTCTAGGTTATGATGTTTTTTGGAGACGTTTGTCAATCAGTTGTGCCTGCGATTCTGACTTATGTGTTCATTGAAGAGCCATTTGCAAGATTTGGAGAGATTGTTGCTGAATATTTGTGAACAACAAGATAATTTAATAAAATTTAAAATAATAAATAATTTATTTATTATTTAAAATCAATTTTGAAGCCTTTAAAGCAGCATTGCAGGGTTGCACAATAGGTCATTCAAATGAAAATGACAAAATGACGAAACAAATATAAGCGAAAAATAAAAATCCACCCTAGACTGGACGGCATAAGTGAACTGCCCCTTGGTTACATGATGCAAATTTTAACTCTCATGAGCAATAAAATAAAGAATTAAATAGAGCACATGATTAAAACTCTTATCAGCATTTTTTGCTGCTCATTTATTTATCTATCTACAAAAAATTAACTGGAAATTGACATAATTTGCTGGCTGTACGAGCTTCAAAATTATTTTGTGATAAACAGTTGAAGCAACAAGAGTTAAAAAGCAAGATACTAATTGAAATATTAATAAATGGCGATCGTTCTGTTGTAAGTTTGATGATTAAAATAAGATAAATACTAGATCTCGAAGTTGATAGGGTTCGAGTCGACTCGAGTCGACTCGACTCGACTCAAAACCGAGTCGGCTCAACTTTACTCGAGTCAACATAATTTTTATCGGAGGCGACTTGAGTCGCGTTTTTCATACAAAAAAAAATTAACGAGTCGACTCCGAGTTTAGTTACTAAATTTTTAATTACATCTTAAGAAAGAGTTCTAAGCTTTCAGTGGTGAAAGGGTTAGGGTTTAGGCTGGTCGGGAGCCTGCGACTGTGCCTTGGTTTCGAGCGCTATTCAAAAATGACAAAAAACATATCCAAAGTTTCCAAAAAATTTACTTACATTGTAGCAAGTGTGCCTCCTGCCCCAATCCCTGGGTGTGAATTGGGCAATCTCTTCTTGATTGATTTTGGGTTGTTAGATCTTTTATGAAAACCTTTACAGTCATGATTAAGACCCAGACAATAAACAACCAAGCTTAGCATCTGCTCTTAGATTATGGCTGAGGTTCTTTGTGCCTGACTTTAAAATGTTGAAAAGATCACATTAATCACAGACTTAAATAACCAAATTAATTTTTTCTAGCGTTATCTTCTGTCTTATCTTCCTCATTCCTGACTCATCAGCCACAAATATTGAGTGTAACTACAACAAAAAACTTGATTATGCTATTCTGGGCTACATTTATCAATGTGAAGTCATCAACAATGCAAATATAACTGACACAGCATCAGCACATATCAGCAGAATCAATGGAACCCATGAAAGTCCAAAAACCAATGATGCCGTCCTTTCAGTATCGGCAGGCGAAAAAATCATCAAAAAATTCCCTCGCGGCTTGCATAAATTCTTCAAAAATCTTAAAGCAATTTACATTTACAGCTGTAATTTAAAGGAGATCCACCAATCAGATTTGAGGCATTTTAGTGGCTTAGTTTATTTTCTCTCCAGCCACAATGGCATTGAAGTCATCGAGAAGGGTCTGTTTAAATTTAATCCGAAATTGGAAGTCGTTGGGTTTAGGGAAAGTGAATTAATTCACATCGATCCGAATGTCTTCGATCATTTGAGTCTGTTGAGTCGATTTTTCTTTACATCTGTCCCGTGCATCAATCAGGAAGTGTTGTTCTCTGTTGAGAAGGTTAGGGACGCTATAAACTTGTCAAAAAGTAAATGCTTGAGTTTGGAATATTTGGAGTTGGAAGGGAAAATTGAGAATCTTGAGGATGAGTCGAGAAGCTTGAAGTTTGAAGATTTTAGAATTACTTTTGAGAATTTTGAGTTGAATTTCAAGGATTCTAAATTTTTGAGGCATCGTCCACTGAAAGAAAAGTTTGAGGACCTCAAAATGACTGCAGAATGCTCAAATTGTGCTCAGGTTACTAAATTGACAGCATTAAACTCTAAAGTAAACAGCCTTGCTGCCATTTTTGACAACATACTAATAATTACCCTAAAAAACCAAACCTCAAAGCTTGATGACCTCAAATCATCAAAATGTGGTACCAAAGACTCATTTGCAGCTATTTTGTCATCAAATGACAGACTTGAAAGCTCCATCAATGACGTTAAAAGTTCACAAAATGGAGCACAAAGCACATTGACTGCCATAAAATCATCAACTGCTAACCAAGAAGTTGAGCTTAAAAATCTTCAATCAACTCTTTTCCTGCTGTCTAATTCCATTAACAAGCTTAATAAAAATGTTGATGAGATGCGAGAATCAATTAGTAAATTGGATAGTATTGATGATAAAGTAACAGCACTTGACGGTGACATAAGAAGCCTGAAAGATAATTTTCTTGATTTTGAGGTTAGAAATTCTGAAAAATTCACCAAAATTGAAAAGGAGCTGGTCAACATTCGTCATAAAATAACAATTGATATTGATGAAAAAATGAAAGTTCTCACAAGGCGCTTGATAAATAAGTTTGAGGACATTCTAAAGAATAATTGAGACACATTTTAAATAGAAAATTACAGAATATAGCAAGTGAATAGGGATTCATAAAATTTATCATGTGGCACACTGCTGTACTCTAATCATTGCTAAGCCTCTTAAGATTGAAGTGTCAAAAATAAAATTAACTTAATAAAAAAACTTGTATTTTTTACAACTTTTTCAACTGATTTATTACAGCATCAAACGTTGATTCTAGAAATCCATTAGTTTGAATGATTGCCAGTAAATCTTCAAGAATTTTTCCTGATTTTTCAGCTTCACTGCTTGGACAAAATTCTAAAAAATTAAAAAATAAATTAATTTTTATCTTAAATTGTGACATTATTTCAGACCCCTTTTCACCCTTACTTGATGACAGCACATGACGAGATGCACAATGACGCACAATGACGCACTCAAAATTAACCAGTCTAACAGGAGTCATTTATTAATGACGTCAGTCAAAAACATGTTTTTTAACCCCCCCCCCCCCCTCCCCCCCCCATTTCCACTCAGTCATCAATGCTAGACATCTTAGGGGGAATTCACTTATGACGTCCAACATTTAGAGGGGAGGGGGTCAAAACACATTGTGACAGGGGAGGGAGGGGGTCAGGAAGTTTGTTACATCCAAGTTTTTATGAGGAAATTATATTTTTTTTGTGTCTTTGATTGGACGTCATAAGGGGGGGGGGGGTGTAAACATTTTTGTAAAGCAACAACATTTCATCTACATTTTAGGGAAAATAAATTTCACCTGCAGTTTAGCAGTCCTATCTGCATATTAGAGTAGCTGCATTTTAGGGATATTTAGATTAAGGTGACAGAATTGGGGTGGTGGGTTCAAAAATTAGAGTTTTTGATGGACGTCTTAAGCAAACAGCCCCAAATCTTTTAAAACATCTAGAACTACACAAAAATCATTATTACATACCCAGAACCTCAAAGTTCTCAAAGCACTTCCTCAAATCATCTTTTAACCCGGGACTCGAATTTATGAATTTCCCATCAGCACACAAATTTCCATCCAACCAAAACATGGCAGCTCCTGAGTTATCCATAAGCTGTTCATCAATCGCCATAACTTTATTAGACTTGACTGAAACACTTTCAAGCTTTTGAAGCTTCCCAAATTGATTTGAATTTAAGATTGTGATTATGTTGTTGTTTAAGTTCAGGTCTTGTAGATTTGTCAGGGATGTGAAAATGTTGCTAGGCAGGAAGTCAACCAGGTTGTCATTGAAAGCTAGATATTCTAAGTTTTGAAGGTTTTGGAATAATTTTGATGGTAAGTTCGTCAATTTATTGTTGCTAATGTCTAAATGCTTTAGATTTTTAAGAGCCTGAAAAGTATTTTCAGCTACTGAAGACACATTAAGGTTCGCAGCATAAAGATACTCAAGATATTGAAGATTCTCAAACCATTTTGGAGCTAATTCAGTCAAAAAGTTATTAGACATGCTCAAAACCTTCAAATTTGACAAATTTGAGAATGAATTTTTATGAAAACTTGTGAATTGATTGTTGGACATGCCGAGAACCTCAAGGTTTGTTAACTGATCAAAGACATCGGCATTTAATGTTCTAAACTCATTGGACTGGATGTTGAGGCTTTTGAGGTTGGTCAGCCCTTCAAACCACTTCTTTTCTACCTCGATCAAGTCATTTTCAGCCAAACTTAAGACTTCTAAGCTGCTTAAATGCTCAAAAGCCTTCTTGTGGACATTTTTGAGCAAATTATTCGACAAGTCTAAAATTTTTATTTTTGCCTGATTTTTAAATAAATTTTGGGGGATGTCCACAATAATATTATAAACTATAGTCACACTAGTCAGTTTCTTATTCTTAACAAAAGCATTTTCGGGGAATTCTTGAAAATTATTAAAAAACATTTCAATTTGCTGAAGATTTTCACATCCACTGAAGGAATTGCCGTCGATAAACTTAACTTTTGCTGATATTTCAAGTTTGAGTAAATTTTGAAATTGACTGCAAATTATTTGAGGCACATTGGCAGTGACTGATGGATGATAGACAGTCAGTTCCACAACATCGTCGTTGCTCTTGTTTGGTAAATGCTGGCCGGTGATTGCTGTGAAGTTATCAAACCCGTCGGGATTTGTGATGGCTAAGTCGCAGGAATATTCAAAGTTTCTGTTGTAGAAATAGTCACAGTTGGCTGTTGGCGATGCTGAACTTAAATCTACAAACAGGCCAAAAAGAGCGAAAATTTGCAGAATTTTCATGACTTTTTTTGACACCAAAATTTGAAGGTTTAAACTGGATAAAGACAAAATAAAGACTGAGGCTTCACTTGTCCTCAATTCAAAATGCAATAGACATAAGATTGTCCTAATCGGCTCAATTATTGACTCTAGTGGCTTAATTAATTAATCTGCTAATTAATTTCTTAGTAAAAGTCATTAAAATTTTATTATTTTGATAAGATTAATTGCTCATCAATGTCTTATGTACTTAACGAGTGAGTAGACACATGCTTAAGAGTATAAGCTGTCTTATCAATAGAGCTCATTTTTATATTGGGGAAACCCACATGATAAGAAGCATGTGCGCAATAACAAAGTTAAAATAGCTTGAAATAATTGCTTTTTTGATGACTTTGTACAAGATTTACTTAAAACCATATCAAGAGCAGATAGACTTGGATCATTAGGATTACAGGAGAACTGGTTGTACAACTATGATGAGACTGATTAATCGGAGTTCACCTTTTAGTTCAGATTCCCATTAAATCCGACTTGACTAATATTAAGACACACATACAACAGTTTAAGGAAGATCTAGACACTTCAACCTGCACTTACTTACTTACTTACTGTAACCATGTTCCTTTGTGGAGCTTAGGTTACAACAAAAGGTTTTCCATCTGACTCTGTTGCTAGCCTTGGCCTTAGTTTGTACAAATTCTCTGCCCGCACATTAAGCTGACATTCTTTCATCACTGTTCTGCGCCAAGAAGCTTTTGGAGCTCCTGAGCGTATTTTCCCCTGCGGATTCCATCCAAGTGCGGTATATATAATGTGCGAAGGGCACAGCCTTTCAGCTGGAGGCACTGCGATTCAAATTAGAACAGAATCTATTGTACCACACCCTTTAAACCTACAGTTTATAGTTGGATCCGAACCACTTGCAGTATAACAAACTTGTGTTTCTGTCGCAGCATTGACATCTTCTCTAATGTTTTTTCTTACGAAGTTTATGTCCAATTCAGGCATACTCTTCAACTTGCACTTCATATCTCAAAATAAATCAATGCTTAGATAGATAGAATTAGATGTAGGGTTCGTTATACACGAAAAGGCACTGCGATCATAGATCTGTTGTACCATCCCTTTAGGTTCAGCTATAGAATTCCAATGTCCTTAATAAATCCCACTAAGTCCAAATAGCGCTGCTTCCTTATGCCACCTATATTGACAACATCCTCCTTGAAATGTTTATGGCGAAAAGCACATAGTGACTTACAGTCACATAGAATGTGTGCCATGGTCTCCTCAGCTGTACTACAAAACCTACAAAATTTAGAGTTACTTAAATTGAGCTTAACAAGAAAACTATAGATACTCATGTGTCCAGTCAAAGCACCAATTAAGATGCTAAGATCCCTTCTTGTCAGTTTCAATGCATCGTTTAGGCTGTTCTTATTGGTAGGGCCTAGCAGATTTTTAGCTGTTAGGGATCCTTTTTCTGAACACCATATGCGAAAGTGTTGCCTGATAAGCCACTCACGAATCTCCCGTTTTACGATGTCCAAACCGTAATAAACAGTCTCGTCGTAATCCGTTCTTGAACACGCCTCTTTAGCAAGTTGATCCGCTGTTTCATTTCCTACGTTTCCATTATGTCCTTGTACCCAATGAAGTGTAACTTCATTGTCCAGTCCTAGAGATGAAAGACTAGAAATACAATCATAAACAGTTTTAGACTTTATGTTACAGTTGCCAAGTGCTGCTAACGCAGATTTGCTATCAGAAAAGAAGCAAATCTTGCAGTCCTTTACTTTCATATCGCTAATATGCTTTGCACCTACACATATAGCCTGCACTTCAGCTTGGAAAACACTTGCATGTTCCTGCAAACTAAAAGATAATGAAATTTCCAAATCTTTACTGAAAATACCAATCCCGACTCAATGCAATGCATATCATCCACATTTTCTGAAGTCATAAGCCGCACGTGACTGGAACAGAAAACAAATATTTTAATCGGATTAGACATTTCCTAGAATCAACTTGCATCATTAAGGTTGATTGTACGACTCTTCAACCACTTTGTCTTTGCTTCTATATTGATGCACACTTCATTATTATCCCCAGCAATAGAAATGCTTAAACTGATGAGATCTGGTCGTTTTAAAAGCGTTTATTGTTGAATCAAGGCTAAGACAACAAAGTGCTGGCTCCTCGATAGTGGCAGTGATTGCAAGATGAAAAATGGCGTAATTTAAAGGATTTTCGGCTGTGCGTTGGATTTCTGATCGAATTACTTACTTGTGCTATCCGAAATTGCCTTGTCTTGAACATTCTGGCACTTCTGAAACAAATCGTGCGTTGTAAAACTATCAATGCAAAGAGAGTTGCGGAAACTGACTTGGGAGGGCTAAAGACACTAATGTCTGGACCAGGGGCGTAGCCAGGAATTTGAAGAGGTGGAGGGGTGCAAAAAAAATTTTTGTATCGAAAAATTGAAGGGGCGGGGATGGATTTTTGTGATTTTTTCATAAAAACCATAGCAAAATGAAGAAATTTCTATTTACGTTGGGGGATTTGTCCTTCAACCCCCCCCCCTGGCTACGCGGCTGGTCTAGGCTAATGTCTATATAATGTCTTGTTTCTGAAACACTTCGTAAAACTTGCTACTGGTTGACCTCGGGTTTAGTTATTAACTGGATTTTAATATCAAGTGTCCACTCAGATAAGCTTAACATTTATTTGCACATGACATTGGGACCAACACATGTGCATCTGCTCAGAATAAGTCTACATGACATTAAAAATTACAAATTTATTTAATCAAAAAATATCGCCACTTAAATTATCAACAGCTTTCTTCTGCTCTTCAGTTTCAGATTCTAAAGCACTCAATCCAGCTTCGATGTTCGTCATTTCATCATTTAAAGCTATATCAACTTTGTCTTGAGAAGCTTTTAAGCACACTGAATTTTCCTCAATTTTGTCTAGAATTTTTTGCAAAGCTGCCAAGACTTCTGACTTGAAAGACTGAAGATTTATGTCTGTAGCTTTGACAGCTTGTTGAAGATTCTCGATTTTTTCATTAGTATCAGCACCTGTGCTTAGAATTTGAGCTGTCAAGTTTTTCAAGTCTGATAATTCCGTGGCTGCTGTCGATTTTATTTCTCCGTTTACACAAGAAACTTTAATCTTTTTAATTAATTCCATGACATCACGAACGCTGTTATCAACTCTTATGTCGATGCACACATTTGTTTCCAAACTTAAGTAACTAAGCTTAGTTAAAGGTGTAAAAACTTCTGGATGGATTTGATAAATCTTATTATTGGACAATGAAATGTAAGCAAGATCAAGATTGAAGTCAAATAGACCTTCATTGATGACTTTAATGTCATTGTAAGCTAAGTTTAAGTTTTCAAGGTTTTTGAAAGGTTTAAGGTCAGCTTGATGAATATTTGTAAGTCGTCCGTAGTTAATTACAATAAGCTTAAGATTTTTAAACACTTTTTCTAAATCGCGCGGGAAAATTTCAATTTTTTTGCTACTCGAATAAAATCCAGTCACATCATCGTCAGTTTTATGACTTTCATGTGTTCCGCGTGCTTGATTAATGACTGCTGTCTCTTCTGAGATTATATTTGGATCGTATCGGATGTCACAGTGGTAAGTGTAGCCAACAACAGTAAATGTGTAAAATACATAAGAACAATTGATGTCTGTTGGTGATGTTGAAGATATAAGATGCACAAATGTGAAGAATAAGATCCTGTGATTTATATTTGAAAATAATATAAAAAATTATTTTTAGTTGCAAAACCAGTTTTTTGAAATGAAATGACACAAAAAATGTTTAATGAGAGAAAGCTTGTGCCTGAATTCATACTCGATATGCCAGGTTTCTGAACAATATGATTATTATTTTTTAAATAATTCATAAAACTTACCACAATTTAATCATTTTTTATTCTTTTGAGTTTCTTGGAACACTAAAAGTCTACAAAAGTCGAATTTTTTGAAAAATCAAAACTTTTAAAGAAGGAACAGCAAAATGAAACAGCTGAAGATGTCTACTAAATGGTTACAATAAATTTTATGTAAATTTTTGAGGGAGAAAGTTTTTTTTTTTTATTTTATTTACTTTTTCTGTTGCTGCTGCTCAATTTTTTGACAAAATTTCGCTCTTTTTTTTCTGTTCGTAAGCTCATTTCTATTTAAACTAGTTTCAAGCTCCTCGGTTTATATGAGATCCACTCCCATATTGACACAACATTTTTTTAATCTCCTCGATACAAACTAGTTTCAAACCCCTCGAAAACAAACTGGTTTCACTCCTCTCAACACAAACTACTTTCACTCCCCTCGAAACAATTTAGTTTCAAGCCCCTCGATACAAACTAGTTTCAATCCCCTCGAAACAAACTAGTTTCACTCCGCTGGACACAAACTAATTTCACTACCATCGGTAAAAACTAGTTTCAAGTCCCTTGAAAACGAACTAGTTTCAATCCCCTCGCAACAAACTAGTTTTACTCCCCTCGAAACAAAATAGTTTCATTCCACTGGACACAAACTAGTTTCACTTCCCCGGTACAAACTAGTTTCAAAACCCTCGAAAACGAACTAGTTTCATTCCCTTCGACACAAATTAGTTTCACTCCCCTCAAAAAAAAACTAGTTTCAATCCCCTCGACACAAACTAATTTCAAAATTCAAACAATTATTTCTCGAATTCCATCAATAAATAAACACAAGAAGCTAAACATTAAGTAAATCACAAAACCAATACTTAAACACTGTGACGACGTCTGTTCTTAACATGAGATTTTGCTATCCCAACTTTATTCCGAACCCTTTTCATCTCCATCTGAAGATCCCCAACTCTGTTCGATCTTCCTCGAAATTTGTGAAAGATTACTTCCAATCCGTAAGCAGCACAGCTCAACATTGAACCAACAGCAATAATAAGCAGTGGAACCAATAATTGACTCAATGAGATGGTCTGCAGTTCCTCTTGAGCTTCATATTGCTGAAATGTATTACGAATAATATCCTTTGTCCAATGATCAATGATTCCAGCCTCATCAAGTGCTTTAACCATGAACTTGAAGTCATTTTTGAGCGGTGTATTTTGGTTGACGAGATAAGTTGAGAACAATTGCAGTCTTTCCGTGTCAGGAATCATGTCGAACAGCTTCCGATGTCCAACATAATTTTCATCGGAACTGACGAATTCCTCACCGAATCGACATCGAACAAAGTACGCAAAGTTTGGGTCAAAATCCTTTGGAATCGATGCAAGACGTGTATCTACAAATTTGACTAGTTTGACAACCTTTTCGGTTCCAAAACGTCCTGTTTCATTGTGATATTCAAAGATTTTTGTGTCCGAGTAAAGCAGTTCCTGAACAGACTTGACAGAGTCCATTTCATGCTCGGATATAACATTTGAGACCATGTAGCTTTCATAGATTTCCATCAGAACCATAATCATGAACAAAAATGGAACCAGAAGCAGCTTTTCCTTTAGAGTCGATTGAAGCCAGTGGATGTTACTTAATCCAAGACCTATAAGAACCTTCAAAGTCTCAATAATTGAATCAACAGCTCCAAGCTTCTGTTTTTGGATCTTCTTAAAGATTTTCCAAGTCAGCATGACCGCAGCAATAGAAACAAGGAACAAAACATTGACAATCATACTGTACGGGCTGGAGAACATCACATAAACTGGAATATTACGAGGAACCAGAATGCACTGTGAAGCACCGACGTCATTTATATTGAGAATCTCGGATGAAGCACCATTAGCATCCGTAAGAGATCGATATAGCGAAAAGTCATATTTGAAGTCCAAGGCAACATCCATAAGTCTCTTAAAGTCAGCTCCAACTATTGTGTATTCATATTTATGGCGCATGCAAAACTCATCAATCAGGTTCCCTTCAACTCCTGTGATTTTTTGGTTGACGTTTAATTGTGAAAATGGTGGATTTTCAAAGAAAAGTGTCCTGACTACTTCTGGATATGCTTCTTGTCCGAGAATAAATTCGTTTCCAAAATTAAGATGAATGTAGGATGCATCGATGGTTTTGTAGAGCTTTTGGATCTGTGTGGAGACTGAATTGAATATTGTGCTTAACATGTATTAGATGGGCGGGAGGGGGGGGGGGGGGGGCAAGCCCTCTGATTGAATGTCTACATGATTTGCCGCATGTTCGTTAAGAACTCGAGGTTTGGCTTTAGAGAATCAACCTGCTACCCTTTAGTACAAAGTTGTTTAAATAATTACCTCAAACGTATCTCCAATGACATCAACAATCAGTGCATTAGCGTATGTCACATAATGTAGGAATGTCACAACGCGAATACGATGATTGTCGACTAGCTTATCATATTCTATTTTGCTGTTGAACTTTGTGATGAATATGAACTTTGTGGAGATTTTTATGATTTGTGTGTGTAGCTGTCCTCGTCTTTCCATTAGTGGCTGATTAAAAAATTGTATTACATTATATTAAGGGAATAAGGAAGAAGAGGGTGAGCTTGCCCTCAAGTCAAGTGATCAACTCGAATAGTACAAGTCGGTTAATTCAATAGAAATCCAAGCTTGCGTTACTCTGGCATCGAACTGGGCTCGAATGAATTTCTATTTGAATAACCATCTTGTGCTATTCAGGCATCCCAAAAATCAATAGACCAGCTATGGATGTAAAATTGATCAAAAATTATTAAAAAATTGACTGAAAGTCATTAGTCAAGGCGTGGAAACTATCTCAAACATCCCATTTATCCCATATATCCCAATAATATACAAAATAATCCCTGAGCATGTATGCATTAGAATTGAGATATCCCATCATATCCTGAAATTATACGTCCAATACACTAAGGATACGTTAGGACATCTTTATTATCGTGCAAATATGCTCAGGAATTTTTTGAATACTTTTGGGATATTTGGAATAGTTTCCACGCCTTGTCATCAGTTGATCAGTTCCTCAACGTAAAGTCATTAACTTACATCCATCAAGTAGTCCTCAAAGTAAATCATATAATCAGGCTGTGCATGAGAATGAACAATTTTTGAATCCATAACATCATGAACTACAACATTTTCATTGACCTCCTGTAGCTTCCTTATTACACAGTCAATATCCTGCGATGTTTTGTTAACCAATACCGCAATATTCACAATCCCTTCTTGAATCTCGTCATTTTGAGTCGTCACATTTTTGAGAATTTGAACTAAGCCTTCACATTGAGCTTGAGATTCGTTGATGTTTGATAGCTTTTGGGGAAAGTTGTCACAAAACGGGAGGTATGAGTGATAAATTAAAATATGCAGTAAAGTAAGCTTCATGTCTGATTGACAGTTTATGGATTAATGTGAAAATGATTTGCCAGTCAGAATTACAATTCAAACGTTTTTATTGATTTATTAATTGTGTGACACAAAATAACATTTAAAAACAGTTGATTACCATTATGGCGTATGTCTCCTTGAAATGTTGAAGAGTTGTTCCTGTTAGAGGTTGGTACCGCATCTGATGCTTGTCCTACAATAATATTTAAACACTATGACGATGCCTGCATCGAATAACACCAAATTTCATAGATTTCCTCATTTTAACACTTTGCATCTCCAACTCAATATCCCCAACTCTATTCGATCGTCTGCTGCAGACCTTATGGACTAAAAATTCAAAACCAAAGACAACCAAACCCAAAACAAGTCCAATAATAACAATACAAACAGGAACAATCATTGCAGCCAACAAAATCGGCTTTTGATCCTCGTTTTTTATGTGCTGTAAGAAGTGCAGCTGCACAATATCCTTAGTCCAATGATTAATGATTCCAGCCTCATCGAGTGCTCTGACCATAAACTTGAATTGCTTTTTAAGTGGGAAATTTTCATTAATCAAGTAAGTTGATAAGAAAGTATCAATGTAGTCATCAGGAATCATGTCGAACAGCCGTCGGTCAGAAACAAAATTCTCGGCAGAATTCAAAAATTCCTCGCCAAATCTACAGCTTACAAAGTATGCAAAGTTCTGGTCAAAATTCTCAGGAATCGTCGCTAGTGTCACATATGAGTAGGACATCAGCTGATAGACTTTATTTGAATCAAATCGACCTAGTTCTTGGTAATATTCATAAATTATTGTGTCAGACTTAATCAGCTCTTCAATTGACTTGACTGATCGCATCTGAGGCTCGGCAATGACAGTTGAGACCATGTGACTTTCATAAACACCCATTAAGATCATCACCATAAGCAAGAATGGAACTAAGAGGATCTTTTCCTTCAGTGACCATCGCATCCAATGATTATCATCAATGCCAAGTCCTAAGAGAACTTTTAAAGCTTCTAACGTTGAATCAACAACTGAAAGATTCTGCCTTTGCAGCCACTTAAAGATCTTCCATACAGCCATGACAGCAGCAATCGACCAAAAGAACAAATGATTCACAACTTTACTGTATGGACTCGAGAATGGAACATAAACTGGAATATTCCTAGGAACCAGGACACATTGTGATGCACCGATGTCATTTAGATGCACAACATCAGTTGTGATTTCACTTCCAGCATTAATCCTTCGATATAATGAGAAATCAAACTGAGCATTAGGCACAATAGCTGTCAAGTGGCTGTAATCACGGTTAACAATCTCATAGTTCAGCTTTTGGTGCTTACAAAATTCATCAATTAGGTTGCCTTCGACTCCAATGATTCGATTGCTGTTGTCACGATATGAAAATGGCGGGTTATCATTAAAGAGTATTTGGAGGACTTCCATGTAGTTCTCTGAGTTGAAGTTGTATGGATCATTGAGTTTGGATAATTCGAAAGTTGATTTTAAGGTCTTTATGTACTTTCTGATCTATAAATTGGAGGGGAATTATTGGATGCATTTGGATAAACTCACTTTATGCTTATCTAGAGAAAAATGGTACGATGTGCATGATACTAAATTTTAACATGTACTCAGACTAGGAGTCATACATAAACATGACTAGAAGTAGGACGGAAGGAGAAGTAGAAGATGACTTGAAGACAAGTGACAAGATCATGACTAGGAGTAGGTTTAAGATAGGTGTAGGACTACCAAAGGATTAGGAAAAGGACCAGATTATAACCAGGAGTAGGAAAATGACTAGATTATGACTAGGAGTAGGAAAAGTACTAGATTATGACCAGGAGTAGGAAAAGGACCAGATTATAACCAGGAGTAGGAAAAGGACTAGATTATGAAGATGAGGAGGAAAAGGACTAGATTATGATCAGGAGTAGGAAAAGGACTAGATCATGACCAGGAGTAGGAAAAGGACTAGATTATGACCAGGAGTAGAAAAAGGACTTGATTATAACCGGGAGTCGGAAAATGACTAGATTATGACCAGGAGTAGGAAAAGGATTTGATTATGACCGGGAGTAGAAAAATGACTAGATTATGACCAAGAGTAGGAAAAGGACTAGATTATGACCGGGAGTAGGAAAATGACTAGATTATGACCAGGAGTAGGAAAAGGACTAGATTATGACCAGAAGTTGGAAAAGGACTAGATTATGATCATGAGGAGGAGTAGAACATGACTCAAAGTAGGACTAAGAGTAGAAAAAAATAAGATAATACTAGGAGTAGGAGGAGGACAGATCTATGACAGGGATAGTTCTTGATTTATCTTAACTTAAGCAGTAGACCATCAAGTAATACTACATGCGCTCATTGAAAAAATCAATTAAAAACTCCATGGCAATCAAAGCTATGACAAAACTTCAATCTCAAAAAATCAACAAACCTCAACTCTATCTCCCTCTATCTCACAACATCAAGTTTCAATGCATTCGTGTAGGTTGGAAACTTTAGAAATCTTCTTATTCGAACGTTGTGCCTGACAGTTGCAGCTTGATATACCATATCATTATTGAATTTTGTTACAATAACGAACTTAGTTGACGTTTTCATATATAATGAATGAATCACGCCCCTTGCTTCCATTGAAGGCTGGATGGAATAATCAATAATGGATTAATATAAATTTATTTTCAATTTTATAACTTACGTCTTGCAGATAATCCTCAAAGTAGATCAAGTAGTCGGGGTTAACTTTGGGAATGATAATTTTTGACTCTATGCTGCTGATTGTGATGTTTTTATTGACGTGCTGGAGTCCACCAAGAATGCAGTTCATGTCTAGAGTTGTTTTATAATAGCTCAGTTCAATCTTGACACTTCCTTCTTGAATTCCTGGATTTTGTGTCGTCATATTTGCTAGAATTTCCACTAAACCTTCACATTGTGTTTGAATTTTGTTGATTTGAGGGAATTTGTGTCGAAAATCATCACAAAAAATGTTATAAATTATTGAAATTAAAATAAATAGAAATGAAAACTTCATATTTATTGTGAAAATCAGGAACAAATGCAGAAATTATTATTCAATCATTAATTAAATTGATTTTATTGATTTTAAAAAAATTGTGCACATTCAAGTAAATTACAATTAAATGTAAGTGCAACATTAGCAGCACAATGCGGTGAATCTAAGATTGTAGAATTAAGCAGAGATGTAGCCAGGTTCTGGTTAGGTATCCTGGTATAGCTTTTGTATTGAGTATGCCCTGATGACAGTGTTGGGCTGCAATAGATCCTTTAAATATTTTCAGCAATTATTTCTCCAATTCTAGCAAAAGGTTCCTCAACAAGCACATATGTCAAAGATATTGGCAGAATAACACTTAGCAAGTCAGTGAAGCATAGCTTAACCTTAAAATAGAATGTAAAAGTCTCAATAAATTAAAATTATATAAAAATTAAGTAAGCAGGGGTGAAGAATCGGTTTGTGAACCCAAGCGTCAAATAGCTTCAAATTAATAAGGCGTTGTTCAACTTGTCAATGCTGGTGACCGCCAAGACACTAGCACTGACTTTTAATCACCATTTTATCAATTTGAACTTTTTAATAGCTTAAGTAGCTCCTTTGTCCTGAGTATACGCTTCATACAGACAACAACTTACAAATTGCATCACACCATCAACTTCAATCGGCTCCATCTGTCGCCTGTGAATCCCATACTGGACATAAGATGACATGAGGTAGACACTAAGTGACATTTTTGAAATTGGCATCCAAAACTTATGTGACAAGAATTTCTTGAACTTTCTATTGTCAAAATGAATAGCATAAAGAAATAAAATGAAGCATGCAATAGTCAAGGTGTCTCCAGCAGCTGCTAGCCGTGGCTCCTTCCAGAAAAATAAGGAAAATGATATAAAAACTTCGCTGATGATGAGCACTGCTCCAACGGATTTTAAAGTTATCTGAAAAAAATTTAAAACTTGCAAATAAAATCAGGTGATTAATTTACCGGGTATATTAAGTTCAAGAGCCTCCTGCATTTTACCTTCTGACTTTTGAAGTTCTCATTCAAAAATTGCTCCAAAACCAACCCGCCAAAAAATGCCAAGAATCTATGATGAACTGCCATGTAGAAGTCCAAATTGTCGAGTGAAAATGTTCTGAAATAAATTAAAACCTTAAAAATTATCTAGTTCTTGAAAATCATTATATAATCTTACGACATCCTTAATTTCTGTCCATTATTTGTAATAAGAGAAGCAAATCCAACTCCATGAATGTACCTGTAAATAGCTGAAATTAAAAGAAGGCAAATTGCTGCAGATTTTCCATGATTTTGGCTCTTGATTGCCATAAAGATGATTGGAGCTATGATTGTGAGCTTGATGTAGACTAGGATGAACCATTTGTAGACATTGAACTGGAAAAATTGATTAAAAGAATCAAGAATCACTTACAGAGGATGAACTTGACTCTATTCCTTACCAGCTTCTCAATATCCTCAAAATCAAACCTTATTGCTCTCTGTAGAACTTTCATATAAAGTTCTTTGTCTTCTGCAAAGCTGTATGGAGATGACAATTCATCATTTGATGTAATGACTAAAGCAATGATCAACAGAACAACTGGAACTAGCCGCATGAACCGTTTAATATAGAATTTGATTATCCACTTGATCTTTGAGCTGTTAAAATAGTCAACTAAAGTTCAATGAACCTCAAACAAATCTTAAAAGCTACTTACCAATTGTCATAATCCTTTGCCAAGCACTTCGCAGTCAAAATGCCGCCAATTATGAAGAATACTTCCATAAAACAATTCATAACAAAAAATATGACAAAATAAAAATCAGTTTGAAATTTCAGCAAATTTTCGCCATTTTTGAATGGAAAATAAATCCGAAAATACCAAACGTGAACCAAAATTGTTGCAATTGAAATTAAAGCTTTGATTCCATTGAAATATGTTGTTGATGGATTTTTTGGCTTTAGGTTTATTAAGTCTTTTATAACTTGAGTTGGTTTCAACTTTTGGACAAAATTAATGTTGGCAATTTTAACAATAGAAAATCTTAGCTAGCCTGTCCTGAGCTAGCCACATAAATAATATTAAGTCACACTCACAAGAATCGTCTCCAATTCCAACTAGATTCTTCATTAAAACCAGTTTTACAATGAATTTTCTCACCAACAGTCAAGTTATGTCCATAAAGAATAGCATAGAAGATCTCTTTTACATCATCAGCCGTGCATGACGTCGGCAAACAAATTGCTCCCAAAAAAGACACATCGAGATCAGTCCACTGACTTTGGTACAAGCTTTTTGAAGATGGGACTGGAATTGGTGGATTGAAGTAGTTGAAATATTTAGCCATGCAGTACTGCATTGAGATCTGGAAGGTTCTGCATCCTTGAAAGTCACCAAAGTCATGAGAATTGCCATATTTGTGGTTTGGATTGAAATTTGACCAGACTGAAAGTTAATTAAGTTTTTTGAGTGCTAAATGACATTTTGGGGTCTATTTAATTGATCTAAGGTATAGAGCCATGGAGCAGGTAGAACCAGGTAAGAACCAAACTCTCCTTCTGATATCTAGGCTTACTTAAACATATCCTCACCTTCATGAATTGTCAAGTTTTGATCATAAATTCTTCTCAAATCGTCAACACAAATTTTTTCAACTTTCGTTTCATTTTTAACAATTTTTTCAATCACTTTTTGGTGGCTTTTAAAGTCAATTAGTTCACTTTTAGCACAGCTAATTGTGTATGCAAATAAAATTAAGAATCTGCAAAATAATGCAACTGTTCTGTACATTCTCAACGAAAGTAAACGAATTTGGAGAGTTAGATCAAATGAATTAAACTTGTTTTATAAGAGGCTGTAAATAAACTACAATTTACGGACTATTCTCACTGTCTGAAGACTTTTAATTCTATTTGAACTAATTTCATGGGTAATTTTTGTTAATCAATTTAAGATGCTTGATTTTTTTTTATTCATTTGAAACATTTCAATTGTTTTTTAAGGTTTGCGTACTTTTATCCGGTGGTTTTGCTTGCTTTTTATTAGTCATGGTGTCTCAGACTTAGCTAAGAGGTTTAAGTGTAAACCTGGAAGAACAAAGAACCAAGAACCAAGAACCAAGAACCAAGAACCAAGAACGAAGAACCATGAACCAAGAACCTAGAACCAACGACCAAGAACCAAGAATCAAGAATCAAAAATCAAGAACCAAGAACCAAGAATCAAGAACCAAGAACCAAGAACCAAGAACCAAGAACCAAGAACCAAGAACCAAGAACCAAGAACCAAAAACCAAGAACCAAGAACCAACGACCAAGAACCAAGAATCAAGAATCAAAAATCAAGAACCAAGAACCAAGAAATAAGAACCAAGAACCAAGAACCAAAAATCAAGAACCAAAAATCAAGAACCAAGAACCAAGAACCAAGAACCATGAACCAAGAACCAAAAATCAAAAACCAAGAAGAACCAAGAACCAAAAACCAATGACCAAGAACAAAAAACCAAGAACCAAAAATCAAGAACCAAGAACCATGAACCAAGAATCACAAAGAATAAAACATTTGTTACATTTCATCCTTCTTTATTGTTCCACTAAATTTGATTTCCTTCTCATCAACAAATTCAAACAATTTTTCCATACATTTATATGACGTCATTTCATGCTTTGTAGTTCCAGCTGATCGTCTCTCAACATCCCGTTCAGATTTTGACAAAACTTTATTAAGCTCAGCTGTTGATGTTACAAAATTAACTCCAACATTAGCTAAATGTCGATCAATTCCTCTCGATCCATGCACAGAGTCAGTAAAGGCAACAGCAAAGACTTTTTGGGTAAAATCGTCATTGAACTTTGATGCTAAATGAGTCGTGATGACGCCACCGTAAGAATGTGCGACAATTGCAATCTTTTTTGGATTTGATGGCTGAATGAATTTTTTCCAGACAGAATCTGCGTGCTTTTCTGGACTTCCACTGCCTTCAATTGCCTTATTGTCTCGATAGTTGTCATTGGTGTTGGTTATGATGACTTCATATCCTCTAGATTGTGCTAGTTTGACATACGGCAAAACAGTTCCAGAATTTAAAGAATCATTAATGATTAAGGAACGAGCCCATTGACCAGCACGAACAACTCCACTGCCGTGGATGATGACCATCAACTTGTCGATGTCTTTAACTTCCTTGAATGTGCTGAAGATGAAAGTTGCCTTGTCTTTTGGAACTGATTCTGGGAAGTAATGGCGAGTTAAGCCATTTTGATCCATTAATTCATAAACATAGTCGGTTATGGCATCTCCTAGGTCTTCATAATGCGATTGGTCTATAAATTGGAAGGGCTTGTCAGTAAGTTCTCCGGTTTTTGAGTCTAATTGACGAAGACGGCCGTTCTGGAATTGAATTTTTGTTCAAAATTGATGAAAAATCGTAAAAAAGCCAACAAACCTCATTAAATCCATATCCAAAGTCCTTCACAGTTTTCCTAGCAGCACCTGACATACTGAATATCTATAAATACGTGTCAATAAATTAACTTAAAAAATATCAATTTAAAATTCAAATTTTTACACTAAAAATGAACGCAACTTTTCGCAAGAAACTACTTCTCATAACTTTATGTTGTTTTGGCGGTCGACAAAATTTGTAAACAAACAGGGGGACAACAACTTTTTGAGAAACTTTTTCATAGTTTCACACCCTGCGAGGGATAAAAAGCTATGCCAAAACATTTGTGAAAATAAAAACAACTCAAAAGTGGAAAAATTATAAACGTTTAGTAAAATGCCAGAGTTAGAGCTGCAAAGTGCACCGGGTTTTAGTGATCCGACCCAGACACTGTCTGGTCCGATTATTGGAATCATTTATCCACCGCCTGAAGTTAGAAGTGAGTTGAAAAAACACAAAAAATAACAAATTTTCTAAATTTATTCTTAAATTCCAGACATTGTTGACAAAACTGCAAGTTTCGTTGCTAGGAATGGCTATGAATTCGAAAATCGTATCCATCAAAGTGAAATGGGAAACAAGAAGTTCAGTTTCTTGAATCCCGGTGATCCTTATCATGCCTACTACCAATTTAAGGTTCAGGAGTTCAAAGAAGGAAAGAGCTCAGCAGTTCCTGGCATGAAAAATTTGTCAATTTCGGCAGTTCAACTGAAACAACAGGAACTACTGAAGCAAGCCACTGAACAGTTTGTGCCAAAGGAACCACCACCAGAGTTTGAGTTTATTGCTGATCCTCCTTCGATTTCTGCGCTGGACTTGTGAGTATTTTTTTTAATCTAATTTTTGTATTTTAAGGGGGGTCTTTGGTTTCAATATTTGAGATTCTGTTTGATATTGCCTATAAAACACAATTTTCAAACAAAACTCATCAAATTATGTCAAATATTACTCAAAATTTCATAACATTTGCAAAATAATGCAGTTCTTAAAGGGGGTCCTAGCTTTGAAAAGTTGAGCTTATGTCAATTTTGACTAGATTCTCAAAGTTATACTATTCCATTATCAATCTTCTTTAATTTTAGAGACATCGTCAAGCTTACAGCTCAGTTTGTCGCCCGTAACGGTCGTCAGTTCCTCACAAATCTCATGAATCGTGAACAGCGCAACTTCCAGTTTGACTTTCTTCGTCCACAACATTCACTGTTCCAATACTTCACAAAACTACTTGAGCAGTACACAAAGATCCTAATTCCACCAAAGGATCTCCTCCCAAAGTTAAAAACAGAACTTGATTCATCAAGAGATGGAACAAATGCAATCCTCGACCAAGTCAAGTACCGAGCAAATTGGTTAAAGCATGAAGAACAGCAAAGACGTCGTGAAGAAGAGAAAATTGAACGTGAACGAGTCGCATATGCTCAAATTGACTGGCATGACTTTGTGGTCGTTGAAGTTGTCGAGTATCAGCCATACGAAAGTGGAAATTTTCCAGCACCGACCACACCAGAAGAAGTCGGTGCTCGTGTCATTATGGAACAGCGATTCGTCGAGGAAGACAATGACATTGAGATGCAAATTGAGTCAGATGAGGAACTAAATGAACAGCAAGTTCCACATCAAAATATCAAATTGTCAGTCATGGAAAATCGTATCAAGGACAACACACAAATTCAAGACATGGATGAGGAGTCCAGCGATGATGACAATCAACCACCGAAACAAGTTGCACCAGTCATGCCGCCAACACATGACAAGGTTATTGTTAAGAAGTACGATCCAAAGCAAGCACAGAAAATTGTCAAACCATCGCCAACATCCGAGGAATATCTCATATCCCCAATTACAGGCGAGAAGATTCCAGCATCAAAAGTCGCTGAGCATATGCGTATTGGACTTCTTGATCCACGCTGGGTAGAGCAACGCGACAAGATGCTTGAAAAGGTACGCGAGGAACAAGTTTATGCTCCTGGATCTGCTATTGAAGCTAGTTTGAAACAACTTGCTGAACGTCGTACGGATATTTTCGGTGTTGGTGACGAGGAAGCTGCAATTGGTAAAAAACTTGGTGAAGAGGAACGAAAAGACGAACGAGTTACATGGGATGGTCATACATCTAGTGTTGAGGCAGCAACTCGTGCAGCAGCTAGAAATGTCTCACTTGAGGACCAGATCCATCAAATCCACAAAGTCAAAGGACTTTTACCAGACGAAGAAAAAGAAAAGATTGGACCAAAACAAGTTGCGACAGTCTCAGCACCTCCAAGACCTCCAATGCATGGAATGCCTGGAAATATGCCCCATCACTCAGCTCCTCCTATGCCAGCTGTTCCACCACCGCCAGTTATGATGATGTCACAAATGAGACCGCCATTGAGGCCACCTCCTTTGATTCGTAAGTATATGATGAGGTTTTTTGCGGGTTTTAAGGTTAGGATTTGGGATTATTAAGTCAAAATAGTGATTTTGAGGTTAGGTTTGGTCTTGTTTTTACCAAAATGGTGAGTTTTTTTGAGTGATTTTGAGGTTAGGTTTGGCTGATTAGGTTAAACAGAGGCCTCTGAAGTTAAAGTTAAGGTTTTATAATACAAATCTAACAAGAATCTATCCCTTTACAGCACCACCATTCCCAGTTGGATTTGGAATGCCACCAAATCTCGCACCAGCACCGCCAGTCATGGATATGAACGAAGATGAGCCAGCAAGCAAGAAATCTCGTCAAGAAGACAGTCTCATCCCAGAAGATGTCTTTATGCAGCACCACAAGAGTCCAATTACAATTCAAGTTCAAGTCCCAACATCCAGTGATAAGCCTGAATGGAAACTTAATGGACAATTGCTGTCTATTAACATTGGATTGCCTGAAACGATTCAAAAGTTGAAGCAGAAGGTACAGGAAGAGACAGACATGCCACCGGCTAAGCAAAAGATATCACATGATGGAATATTCTTTAAGGATAGCAATTCTGTAGCTTATTATAACTTGTTGTCGGGTGTGACTGTTCATTTGCAGATTAAGGAACGTGGTGGTAGGAAGAAGTAAATTTGTAGGAAGGGATTGAAGTCGGGATAATAAAATTTGATTTTTTTAAATAATATTTATTGATTTTAATTTGCAATTTTCATACTACACACAGTTGTTATCCCCCTGACTTTAGTTCGTCAAGGGGAAAACAACATGATGGGTAAATGATGTTGATAACAGTTTATTCAAATATAGGAATCTTCTTAACAACTTTTTTATCGATTTTTTGTCGACATTTTTCCCCACTATGTTGTTTTCCCCCTAAGAATTCTTTAAACCACAGATTATAATTAATTATGAATATAAAGTAAGTCCTGAAGTATGTAAGTGTTTATTAAGTTGATAGCTCAGCTTAAACTGATCCAGATCCATCATTCAACATTTTTCCCAGCTTGTCCTTGAAGATCTTCTCCAGCTTTTCCTCTAAAACCTCCTCAAACTTGCTCAATAAGCGTTTTTCAACTCCCTTGAGTTTTTCATCCAAGTTGATGGCAATTTTATGACGAGTACCAGCCAGTTCCTTGTTCATTTTCTCAGCACTTTTTACCTCAAAGCTTGTAAAATGTTCTTCAATGTTTTCCAATTTTAGTTCAAAGCTCTTCAGTTTCTCAGCGAAGCCATTTATTTTATCCTCAGAACTAGCAACCTTCAAATCATCCAAAGCAATCTTAATCTCATTTTGAGAGGTTTTAAGCTTAATAAGTGTTGACTTAACTTCATTTTGGGATGCTTTGACGTTACTGATTGATGCCTCTATGTCACTCATGCTTCCTTTAAGTTCATCTTGGAAGAATGTTGCTTTAGATTTGTGGTCATTGAACTTTGATGTTAGATTGCTGAAAGAGTCGGTCAGGGATGATTCTATGACTTTAGTACTAGCTTGAATCTTATTGAATTTTGAGGTAATTTGGTCAAAAGTACTGTTTTGCCAAGACATAACTTCACCTATATCTGTAGTCAGATCGTCTTTAAGCTTAATTTGGGATGTTTTGATGTTGTCAAGTTTTGTGGCTTGGTCAGCAATAGATGACTTTATGTCAACTTGGTCGCCATCTTGTGAGGATTTGAGTTCATCGATTGAGTTTTGTAGGTTTTTGATGATAGAAAATAAATCAGGATCCAAACATTTTGAGGACTTAAGGTCTTCTAACTTGGTGGTTATGTTCTTAAAGCTTAAATCAGTTAATAACTCACCAGGATTACTTAAAACTTTTAATGCTTGAAACCTCTCACGCAATGGACGAAATTTTGAAAATTTAGAATTTTTAAGTATTGTCTCAAAATCATCGAAATTAATTTTAAATTCTGCAAAATTTGACGATTTTGACTCGATTTCAAGATTTTTAATCTTTTCCTCTAAATCTGAAAATTCTGAGCTTTTGCATTTATTTTTAACGACTTTTATTGCCACAACGACATCGTTCCTTGAATTATCAACTTCCTTAGCTATACAAGGTACACGCTGAAACCAGAAGTACTTCAACTGACTCAAATGATCAAAGACATTAGCATGAATATGGATTAACTTAGGTTCATTGAATTCAACCAACTCTAATTGCGAATTATAGTCAAATAAACCTTCTTCAATTATCTCAATTAAATTCGATTGCAAACGAAGAGAGACCAAATTATTGAAAGGCTTTAAATCTTCTTGATGAATCTCTTCTAATTGACAGGAGTAAATGATAATTCCTTTAAGATTTTTGAAATTTCTTTTTAAATCTCTTGGGAAATATTTAACTGCAATTGAAGATGCCCAAAAAACTTCCACATCGTCGCTGATTTTCGAATTTAAATGAGTTCCACTGATTGAAGTTATCTGTGCAGAATCTATGGTTATGATGTTAGGGTCGATGCTAGTCTTACAATAGTATGTGTTTAATATATTTGTAAAACTTGCAATGCCATAATTGCAATCGATATTAGTTGATAATGATGAATCATTGAGGATGATTAAAATTAATGTGATTGAGCTGGAATAATAAATTTAATATTTACTGATATGGCCAATGACTTTACTTATGGGCTGTACACTTATGACGTCCAGGGGGGGGGGGGGGGGGGTCAACGAGAAAAGAACAATAGAAATTCCTAGAAATCCATTGTTCTTTTTTCAAAAAAATGACCGTTAATCTCGGACGTCATAAGTGAACGACTTCTTATGACATTTACCAGTGGCAAAGCCGAGGGGGCGTGGGGATAATTGGGTGTCAAATCAGACAAAGGAAATTTTTATCCATACACATTTTGTGACAGGAAGGGGAAAAAAAACTTTAAAAATCTCATTTTTTGATTGACGTAATTTATGAATAACCTCTTATGACAGTGATGGGTTAACCGTGTGCTGCGGCACACTAGTATGCAAGGTGTGGAAACTATCCCAAATATCCCATATATCCCAATAATATACAAAATAATCCCTGAGCCTGTATGCATTAGAATTGAGATATCCTATCATATCCTGAAATTATTGGTCCAAAACACTAAGGATACGTTAGGACATCTTTATTATCGTGCACACATGCTTAGGAATTTTTTGAATATTTTCGGGATATGTGGGATAAATATGATATTTGGAATAGTTTCCACGCCTTGCTAGGATGCCAAGAAAACCCAAAAACCGTGTGTCGCTTGCATTTTCGGCCATTGATTACCACAAATGTGTGCCATGACACAAAAAAGATCGCACACCACTGCCTTATGATATTAATAAAATAACACTTACATTAGAATTTTCACCATTGCGTCACAATTGATTTAAAGTCGCAAAAAATCACTTTTGTATGTTTTAAGTTCAAAATTTGTTTACTGAATGTGACTGATAAGCTAGAAATGAGAGAACTGTTGAGTATGCCGATAAATCATTTCAGAGAGAATGCTGAAAAATAAATTAAGGAATCTTATTAAACTATAAATAAAGCTGTGGCACTTAGAGAATTTAAATAAGAAGTCAAATTTATTTTTTTTAATTTTTTTTTTTATTAGGTTGATTTGAGTAGCGTTGTATAAGTCAGAGAGATGTTTGATGGACTGGAAGTTTTTAAAATAACTCCAGACTCTCAAAAATTTAAAAAAAAATCTTTTAGAGCTAAATCTAAGGCTTTTCAAGGCACCATGTTCAAACCTCGATGCAAAATTAACTTAAACCACAAAATAAGTTCATTTGATAGTCGATTCTAAGCCCCAAGTCACCCTATAACCCAGTATATTAATATATTTAACACAAAATAGCCTCAACATACCCCAAAACATGTCTCTACTTAATTCCAAACCTCGCATTCAAAACGTCTTTCAACTTTTCCTCAATCAGTTTTCCTAATTTTTCGTCAATGACTTCTTCAAACTTGCTTATTAAGCGCTTCTCATTTTCCTTGGTTTTATCATCAAAATTAATTCCAATTTTATGACGCGTGTTGGCGAGCTCCTTTTCAAGTTTTTCAGTATTTCTAACCTCAAAACTCATCAAATGTTGCTCAATACTTTCCAATTTCTCTTTGAGCTCCACAAATTTGACTTGTGAGTCAGCTAAGTATTCAGTTAGAGTGTCTTGTAATGGTTTGAAATTAGCAACCAATTTAGCATTGCAGGAAGCCACAACATCATCAAACCTTCCAGTAATGTTTTTTAAGTCATTGCTTGTTTTCCACAGCGATACGACCAGCATTAATACATGGGTTTCACTGTGAAAGTCTGATGTGAGAATGCTGGCTTCACGACAATTAATCTAACGGATTTAATAAACTTTTCACCTGTCTCGAAGGTGCTTTATAAAAGCGTCGATGCTAAAGCGCCACAATTTAACTCACGTTTAAAAGCTATGTCTTTCCGCGAAACTAAATTTCTAAATTTTCTAAATGTTTTATTATATTATCTCTTCACATTTTGTATCGTTGTACTATACATGTCAAATTATCTAAATACCTCTGGTAATAAACTATTATTATTATTATTATTATTAAACTTGTACTTAGATGATCAAGCTTAGCGTCAACAGCAGTGATTTTAACCATTTGAGCACAATTAGAGCATCCGCTAGTCATTTTGAGGTTCTCAAACTTTTCTTTTAACGGTTGGAACTTAGAAAACTTAGAATTGATGAAAATATTCTCAAAATTCTTAAGTTTTTGATTGAAATCTTCAAGATTTAAGATTTTTGATTCTTCTTCGAGGTTCTTTATCTTTTGCTCTAAGTCCAAGTACTCATTGCTTGTGCATTTAACCTTAATAGCTTTTATGGCATCCACAACCTTGTCCCTCGATGCAATATTATCATTAATACAAGGAACAGTATGAAAATAAAAATAATTCAACTTATCCAAACTATCAAAGACATTTGGATCAATATGAACAATCTTGCTCTCATAAAACCTCACAAACTGCAACTTTGGATTAAACTTAAAAAGTCCTTCCTCAATGACCTCAATTGAATTGTAAACCAAGTCAAAATATATCAAATCTGGAAAATATTTAAGATCTGATTGATGAATTTCCTGCAGCTGTGATGGATCCAAATGAATAGCTTTGAGATTTTTGAAAAATTTATGCAAATTTGATGGAAAATATTTGATAGTTTTTTGATTTGCATAAAATCCGAGGACATTGTCGTTTGTCTTTGACATTCCATGTGCTCCATAAATTGAGTTGACGTAAGCTGATTCTGGTGAGATTATGTTGGGATTGTTTTTGACTTCACATTGGTAGATGTAGCCTAGGATTGTGTAGACGAAACTGCTCGGACCGAAGGTGCATTCAATGTTTGTTAATGATGATGATTCTTTGAAGCAGATGAAGATCAGGCAAATGATGAAGCTGAGAAAATACAAAAAATGGGTTTAAGATCTAGTGAGTAATGACAGCTGTATGCTGCTTAAGATGAAGTTTCTTTTGGTTTGCAAGATGAACATCAGATGAACCTAATGGAGATGGATTAGGACTTAGCAACAGGCCTCAATGTTAGGTTTATCTTGTGTGGTGTTTAAGCATTTAGGGACCTGTGTCAAGTGCTATCCTAAAACCCTGCTTGATTATATATCATCCAATACAGTGTTTCTCAAACTATGCTCCACAGAGCTTTACTATTCTGCAAAAAAAATGTCAAAAGTGGTTACCAGCGTCGCGCGAAACCATGAACTGACGATTCACTGCTTCTTTATTGCTCAGCCTCCTCAAAAGCTTGAGAAACACTGCTCTAAAAAGTGGCTGATTTACCAAAATTTTTGAAAATTTAAAGTCAAACTTACCACAACTTTATTGCCATTTTTTGTCCTGTCAAGCTTTTGTTGACACAATTTTAGTCTAATTTCACAAAATACTTGTCTACTGCAGCAATTTTAAAGGCAAATTAAAATTATTCTCACAAAATTCATGCTCAGAGCTTTAAACTTAATCTTGAATGAACAGGTTCAATGATTTGTGGCTGTAAACAACAAAGATAAGAAATTTTAGGGGCTAAGTGCTCAAAAAGACTTTTTTAACGCATTTTTGAAACTTGTTTCTAAAAGGTAGCTTAATAATACACATTGTTCGGCTGTTCGGCTGCTCGGGCAAAGAGAAACTTTTTAACCATACATCGTAGAAAGTTCGGGTTTGTTTTATTAGCTCCGTTACTATCGATTTATCGGCCCATCGAGTGGTTAAAAGTCTTCAAACCATGTATTTATACTATAATTAATGATTTTTATTTTATTTTCAGTGTAACCTGCCCAAATTTTATTTTACCTGTATAATTTCAACATTACCTCTGTAATATTAAATTTAGAATTATAAATATATAAAATTAATAGCAAAATTAGATAATCAAATACTGATCGTTAACACAAAAATGCGCTTAAGTCCCTCGATCAATAACACGAGGACTTCTGTAATTTTTTTCATTTAGAATAATAATTTTATTAATTTTTTAAGCAGACTGTCTAGCTTGACTGACTGGAATGTCATGAAATTTAACAAACTTTTGCAAATCGTAAGCTTCATTCAAATCTTTAACAACGAAAACTTGCAAAATATCTTCAAATTCATAAATTCTCTTCATAAACACGTCGCTAATCTGTAAGTCACCAACACTTACAATCCCTAATCGGATTGGAAAAATTGTCAAGCGGAAGTCTTTAAACTTGTCTGGCTCAATTAGTCCCAAATTCTGTTCAGATGAGCCTGTGTAAAGGTTGCAGTGCTTCTGCTTAATGTTGAAGTTGAGGTTAAGTTCCATTGATCGTGTGCTTGTGTTGGTGATGCGGCAATTGAAGATGAACGGTTTTGAGATTTCACTGATGCTGTTGGCTTCGATGATTGATAGACGAAGGTCACCAAACTCTATTGACTATAAACAAAAAATATGGAAAAATTAAAAAATTCCGGAAATTTCAAAAGTTTAAAAATTAAAAAAAATTCAAAAATTTTAAAAAATCCACAAGCTTTAAAAAAATCTATTTTGACATTCTTTGTCTTATTAATCATCTAAATCAGCGTTGTCCAAACTTTTTTGAGCCATGGCATACCTTAGGGGTAAACCATTACCAAAGTCGAACACAACATGCGGCTTGCGTCAATTACAAAAAAATTTCTACGGCACACAGTTTGGACAACACTGATCTAAATCTTTCAACTCACACTTCTCTGCAGCTGACTAGTCTGCAACCGTCCCCTTTCAGCCAAATTAGAAGATCTCCATACAATATCCAGCTTTCCAATATTCATTGCCATTTTCAGTGTCTTCAAGTCATTCGCAATTGATGGAATTGGCTTAATACAGTACAAGAACTGACACGAATTCTGAGGCTGCAACTTGTTGATTGAACAGAACACAGAATTTCCATCTGTTGTTGTATTTAGCGACGTAGATGTGTACGAATCGGATGGTTCGAGTTCAACTCGTTCTAAGCAAATCACATTAGCTGTTATGTTTTGAATCTGGAATGAAGGATATGTTGAGGAATTAAGTTTGATTCTAAAGGATTGGAATAGGTACTAAGTCAATGAACAGCCTATTTGTGTCAGTCTAGAATTCAGCATCAAGATTATATTCAATATTCTTCTACTGTTAATTTTCATTTGTGTTATTCGACACTAAATCACAAATTGAGCACATCAAAGAAGCAATTTGAGCATCTGCACCAAAATTTGTTGCCCTAGCTGCCCTTCCTTATACTCTTAGTCCCCATCCTTGACTACCCAACGAAAAAACATCCACAAACTTAAAATAAAATCTTACCGTAGCCTCCAAAATAACCTCGTCAGTCTCAGCATTGTAGAACTTTGTCTGTACGTCCAACGGCTTTAATACTTGAAATTTGAAGAATTTTCTGAAGCTCAATGGCAGTCCACCAGGTGACACATAGTTGACTTCACAGACTAGGATGTGGGTTCCGATTTCCTTGACTGAATGGAATAATTATGAAAGATTAAGTCAGAAAAATTGGAAAACTTTATATGTAACAAATGATTAGAGTAAACCCGAATGAGACAAGTCGGATAATCAATCATTAATCCGGCACCAAGCTTATGTGATTCTGGCATGGTGCTGGATTTAAATCGAAGCCAGAACCATGCCAGAGTCATGCCGGCTTGATATGGGATTTCTATTAGATTAATCGACTTGTGGTAATCGAGAAAGTTCAGAAAGCACTAAACAAGTTGTGGCCAACGTTTTTTGTGTCACGGCACACTTGGTGGAGAGTCGTTACCAAAACCGGACGCAGCATACGGTTTGTGGAATATGTTGAATTTGCACTAGTGTGCCGAGGTTCATGGGTTGTACTTCACTGCACTAGAATCAAGTCTCAGTTACTAGAACTTATTATATAAATTAGGTTTAAGACTCAAAACACTTCTTTTTACTCGCAACTTCCAAATTCTCTTATCAGATTACATTTAATCACTCAAATGCATAGAAACCTATTCACAAACTTACCTTCATAATGAATAACATCATCCAAAGTCTCATCCTGATTCAAAGTAGTCGGAATTGTCCTATTTGCATGAATCGGAATCGAAACTCTTGAATTGTTGCTTTGTAAATCGCACTTGACAGAAACTGATGAGACTGCATGAGTTACACAGTTGTGGACACAAATGTAGCTGGAGAAGGTCTCGCCTGGGGATGGAAAAATTATTAAGTTTGAAAAATTTGTTGAGTTTGGGGTTCTTGGGGATGTTTTTGGATGCAGTTTTGATGCACAGCGTTTTTTGATCTCAACAAAATCCGAAAAAAATTGCAAAAATTCCAAAATGTCTGAAAACTGCTCCAAAAGTAAGTCCATATCCAACAACACCCTAAAACCTACACCAACAATGACGACTCACCCAAATAAATGTTCCCAAATGATTGCGGCAACAGCAAAAAATTAGATTTTGGTAAATAATTTGATTCTTCACTTTCCAAATGTGGTAAATCACTTCTTTCGCTGAATATAAGGTTCTCAAAGTTTGTCAATGTTGGTCGAGTCAATCGCATGACTTTCAGTGCCAGCATGTGCTCAATTTGAGAGTCCATTGTCGATGAAAATTGAGAGAAAAATTAAAATTGAAATTTTTGTTGCTAATTTGTTGATCTTCACAGCTGAAGAATGTAAATAAGAGGAGATTTTAGGTTGCAGGGGGAATGGAAGTTGTGAGAAAATTTTGAATATTTAATAGCGGTTAATTTTTGGGTGATTTTTGCTTACCTGAAATTTATTTTGTTGAAAAAATTTTGTCGAAAATTTCACTGCTTACTTTAAGAAGAAAAGGAAATCCCTCAATTTTTTGACATTCTAAAATAAATTCTCTCACAAACCTTCACAATTTATATTGAAGGGTGCGAAACTACACCAAAAAAAAAACAAAAAAAAAATTTTGTAAACAAAATAAAGTTTGTGAAGAATTTTTTCAATATTATTTAAGTTTTTAGACATTAGATCTCAAGTGCTGGACATCATTTCAGAGAACTTACAATCAGAATCAAGACATTGAAGATCACTTGACTTATAAAGCCTAAAAAGCTTACGAATTTTATCAATAACTTAGAATCAAAACAATTTTTATAAAGTTTAAATTCCGCAATACTTTTTTGTGGCAAAGGAACGAGTTAAAAACCACAAAACAGATCTGACCTCAAACCTACATAAATGTCACAAACACAAAGCTACAGAACAAAGAAAACAGAAATGGAGAAACAAGGTTTTGCGAGAGGATATGAGCCTGAACAGATTATTGGTGCAACAGATGCCAGTGGAACCCTTCAATTTCTAATGTAAGTTAATATTTCTACAAGATCTGCTTTCTGGAGCTTCCTATGGCATATCCTGGTCACAGTCAAGAATTTTAAATTAACAAACTTATTATTTTACAGAAAATGGAAAGGAGTGGACGAAGCAGACCTAGTAAGTGCTAGAGAAGCCAACATAAAGTGTCCAGAAATCGTCCAAGAGTTTTATCAAGAAAGGCTGAATTGGGCAAACAACTAGAATTAAATGAATCAATTGATGTGTTAAGTTAAATGAATAATAATTAAATATTTGTAATTTAATGTAATAAATGGAACTGAAAATTAAAAAATTCTGTCAAGTTCTAAAGTCTGGTAAGCCAGAGGCTACTCAGCGTACCCTATTCCTTGTCCCTAGTCCCTAACAATCTAGTCTTGGATTAATTCTATTAAATTCACATTTTATAGTCAATTCCCATTTTGCCCAAGGGTGCTCTGGGTTGATCTAGGAATCAGGCACTGAGATCAGTTTCTGTGCGAGGTATCCTAGAAAATACAGCAAAGACATACTTAAAAGTCACTCAAATATTAATCCTGCCCTAGATTAGCCATCTTGTATATAGTACTACCTAACGCTGTAGGATCAGTTTCCAGGTCTCTTAAAATACCAGTCAATCTAATCTAGGGAACAGCCATTTAAAATACCTCAACAAGCTCAATCAACCAACAAAAAAAAATTTCCTTTAATTTTTCAAAATTTTTTTATTTCCTTAAAAAAAGCCTTAAAAACAATCTCAATTAAAACAAGAACATAATTCTAAGGAATAACAAGATTCGATGTCCAATCCTTAATAATTCCAACATTAAATCTCTGTCCAAAGGAAGTCAGTGCAGCCAAAATGTTTCTCTTTGGTGGTCGACAGTACTTCTTGCCACCCTCAAGACAGCAAATGTTTGGGAAGCATGAAATGCTTGAATTGCACTCTTTTGGATGTTTATCGAAGGCTGGTGGTGGTGCTGGACTGCATTGGAAGTACTGGCTGATTGATTCTACAGGATATGCAATTTGACGTCCAACTGGAAGCTCTTCTGGTGCTGTATATGAGTTCATGCAGAAGCGTTTACGTCCGCTTGGGCAACAGATTCTTGGAAAGTCACAGTCGGTGTCTTTGAGGCATTTTTTGACGTCCCAAAAGCTTTCAGCTAGTGGTTCTTTTGGACACTTTCTTGGGATGCCGAATAAGGCTGTGGATTAATAGGAAATACTAAAATTTGTTAATTAAAATGCTAAATTCAAACTCACGTTCATGCTCAATGTCCTCAAGTGGAATCTCAAGACCCTCATGACACCTTTGACCACCAAACAGCTTACAGCATCTGAAGTTACTTCCCAGTGTCTGCGCACAGTCATGATTCTTATTGCAAGTCAATGGAAACAGCTCAAATTTAGCTTCCCTTTCTGTTGGACACGTCAGCTCATCCTCGAGTCTCTTCACTTTTACTGACTCTTCATGTCTTATTGGATCTGTTTGAGTTTGGTTATCGATGATGATCCTCAGGTTGCTGTATGTTCTTGAGAGTGCTGGAATTTGAGGCTTTGGTGTGGTTGGCTTGGGCGGTGATGGGTCTGGAATGAAGTCTAGATTAAAAATGGTAAGGTTGTATTTTTAGGGGTTAGTAATTGAGCTAATTTGATTAAAGCTAGTCAAAAATGATCCAAACTAGTTCAAAATGATCCGAACTAGTTCAAAATGATTCAAATTAGTTTAAAATAATCCGAACTAGTTCAAAATGATCAGAACTAGTTCAAAATGACCCAAACTAGCTCAAAATGACCCAAACTAGTTCAAAATAATCCGAACCTGTCAAAAATGGTTCAAAACTAGTCAAAAATGGTTCAAAACTAGTCAAAAACTTATTCAAATTATCCCAGACTGATCAATCTTAACCTTCCATCCCAAGAAAATCCAAATCAATTGACAAACGCCCAAAACATCTAGCACACGATCTACTTAAATTTCACACCATTCAGTCACACGAGATGATTTACAGTCATGCGTAAAAGTCTCATGAGCATTTATTAAATATTATTAATGTCAGACTATTAAGCTCTGATCACTTTACATTCGCACAAACATGTTATTAAGATTCGATTAGACATCGACTAATTATGAGCAAGATTTAATTCCGACTAAATGTGAGTGACTTGCTGCTTGCTTTTATGATCGTTTGACAATTGATTGTCAAGGTGAATTTAGCTGGACTTTTGAGATACTTTTAATTGATTGCTGAATTTGCAATGTCTTAGATTGACTTTGATGCGTAGGTTTCTGAGGATATTGAGTCAGGGTTGCGATACAGGCACCTGGAAACAGGTGAGAAATGTACAATTCCTTGATAATTTTTGAGGGTTTTATTATAATTTGTATGGTTTTGTAAGAAAAACCTTATAAATTATCCAGGGAATTGTTGAGTTCTCACCTACGTCCTGTATCGCCACCTGGTTTAAGCTAGTTCTTCAGTTAAATAATTAATTTGTCAATTTAAATTCAACATTTTTGCTAACTTTCCCTTTAACAACTTCATTACATTCCTCATTGCAATGTCAAAGTGTCTTCCATATTTAAAATAATAATTAAACGAAGGCCAAAGCTTACTCTTAATGATGGCCATCTGAATGTCACAACTGAATGCGATCATAAATTACTTCCATATGACTAGTGAAATGAAAGCCTTCATGCTACATAAAATTGTGCATAAAGATGACTTTCGTTGATTATGTTGAGTGAGTTATTAGTTTTGATGGGTATGGTCAGGGGTGAGGTCAGTAGATTAAGATATTGGACTCGGAGAAGGATGGGAGTTGGGTTTGAGATCAACCTGTAAATTGATGCGTTTGTGCCAAATCACTTATTTTCGTCAATACTTTGGGTTATATCTAAGATTGAGATCAGGGCTTGAGACCGGAGTTAAGACCAGAATGCAATAATGGATGAGATTAGAGTTAAAACCGGAGTAAGACCAGGATTGAGGTTAGGGTGAAGCCACGATTGAGAACATTATGACATTATGATACAGGCAATCTTGAAAACAGCGTTAAGATCTGATGGAGATTAAAACAACCGCTGGGTTAAGATTAGAGTACGAATCAGTGTCAGAACTAGGTTAAGATTGAGGTTTATATCGGAAGCAGACTAGGTTTGTTATAGGGTTCAGATCAGGATTGAGAACAGAGTAAGATCAAGTTTGAGAACAAGGTTAAGACCAGAATGAAACCAAAGCTAGATCAGGATTGAGATCAAAATTGAGGCTAGATTGAGGCTAGATTGGAGCCAATTAGGGAAGACCATGATGAGACCAAATGAATAAGACCATGATGAGACCAAAGATCGACCAATGGTGGCTCAAAATGCCAGTTTCCTACCGAGCCTACACTTTCTCACATCTTCCTCCGAACAGCACCTCCAACACAACCAAAACCCACTCTCGACTTCACTTCATTTTACTCTTATTCATTTTTATCTCACAACTACCCAAACATGACATTGAAGATGTCTTTTATTTTCTCAATTTGCATTTAATTCCTCTACATATTTACAGTTTCAGTGCCAAGAAGTAATTTCAAAATTTCTCACAAAAAAAAACTTTTAATTTTCTCTTCCGAATTCACGAAAAATTCTTCAAGGCTGACAGTCGATCACCAAAAAAAAAAAAAGCAAAAACATTTTCTTTTGTGTTCATCGACGCATGCAAGTGCAGAAAAAAAAGAGAAGAAATAATTGTAAGGTCAGAGTTTTATTGTTTTTGGGCTGATATGTGAGTTAATCGTATGAAATTAAACTTGAATGTTGAGCAGTGACATAAGTTGGAATTGGAAAATTAATTGTGAATTGCAAGACGGAAGTATTTGCTTTAGTTTTGGTGCGTGTTGGAAGTGAATGGGAATTGGCTTGTTTAGTGATTTCTGAAGCTAAGTTTTGGTTTAGGTGATTGAAAAATAACTTGAATTGTAAAGCTAGCATTGGTTCTGTTGGGTAACTCTCTTTTGAACTCTGAAAGATAACTTGACACTTTAGCTCAGTGTTGTCCAAACTTTTTTGAGCCACGGCACACTTTAGAGGTAAGCCATTACCAAAGTCGCACAAAACATTCAGCTCGAGTCATTTACAAAAAATTTCTACAGCACACTCGTGTGCCGCGGCACAGAGTTTGGATAATACTGCTTTAGCCCATGCAAGACCAGGACCAGAGAGAGTTGATTGGTTTTTTCGTCCAGTTTGGTAAGGTGTTGAGCATACAAATGACAAAATCTACTAAAAGAGACGCTTTTGACTGCTAAGAAGAGATGAAGCTCATTATCCTACCTATTGAAAGCACCCAAGGCTCCTAGAATTGCAACAAATCCCTGAGATAACTCTAAGATACTCCAATGACAGCTTTAACATGCCTATAAGATTTACAATAATAAAACAATAAGAAAAACATTCTAAACCAGTGTTTCTCAAACTTTACAAACCATAGATCATCAGTTTTTCTTTAAGCACAACATCGGCTCCTTTTATTGACACATCTTAGATTCTCTCGATGAACATTCCAGCTCAACAAAGCATATACAGTTCTAAAACCCCTCAATAAATGCGCTCTATATCACACACTTACAAACTTTTCTAACTTGTTCCTTCATTCTTCACAAATTTTTCCTCAATTAACTCCAAAAGCCACTCCAACAAGAAGCCAAGACGGCAATATTTCTAAGAAAAACTACTCACAATACGATTAATAATCGACACATTGTTAATATGTGCTAGCTATTATAAAACATGACAATAAAGGCAACATAAATGTTTGCTAGACAATAACAGCATTAATAATAATTGCTGCAAAAGCTCGAGTGTCAGTTAATTAATTTTTTTTTTGTGAGTATTGAGCTGAAATTCAATGAATTTGATACTTTTGATGTGTATTTTGAGGAATGAGGGACGAGAGGTAATTGAGATGGAGTTTGAGTTTAAGTTTAATGAATTTTGAGGGTCAATTGGATGTTATTGACTAGAAAATAGTTGAAAGGAGGTGTTTAGTGTTGTTTAATTGCAAGTTGAGGAGTTTGTTGAGCTTCTAAGTCTCTTAATTGATTTGTTTAAAGACAAAAGTGCCTAAATGACGTCTCTCGATGGAAATTGTAGCTCCAAAGTGACTAAACATTGAGCTTAGTCTTTAGATTAGGTTCCTTTTTGACCATAGACTACATAGCACATCAGAGATGTCGTATAGGAATAATATAAAGCAACCAAGTGACTAAACAGTGTCACTGACTCACCAAACACTCCAAGTCATCTCATAATTAAGTCATTAAATCATTAAACCTCTCAAAACCAAAAACTTGAATTTATTTTGTAGTTTTTATTTTGCACGATTTTTCTGCTTCTCATTTTCAGTTTCATTTTCATCATCACGACTAGAAACAGCCAGAAAAGGTCATCTTCTGTTTACGGAAACTCTTTTAAAATTATTTATTGCATTTCAGATACGCAAAAAGCTTTTACTTTAAAACCTGCAAATAAGTCATAAATATTTTTTACTGCTGCAATAATTCAAGAAATATCAAAAAATTAAATTGTGAAAAAAATTCCTCAGCGACACGCGAAAATGGTAATTTATTGGAAGTGAGTTAACTGTAAAAAGTTGTGTCAATTTGCAATTTTAAAAATTGTTGAATTAATTTTGAAGTTTTTTAACAATTGAATTTTGAAATTTTTTAAGAATTAAATTTTGAAATTTTTTAAGAATTAAATTTTGAAATGTTTTAAGAATTAAATTTTAAAATTTTTTAAGAATTAAATTTTGAAATTTTTTAAGAATTAAATTTTGAAATTTTTTAAGAATTAAATTTTGAAATTTTTTGTGAATTAAATTTTGAAATTTTTTAAGAATTCAATATTCAAATTTTTAAAAATTTAATTGAAAATTTTAAAAATTTTTTTTTGAAATTTTCACAAATTCACGTATCAAAAAAATATTCAAAAAAATTTTCTTTCAACATTCAGGAAGATCCAAAATCAAATTCCATCCAACATTCGATCGCAAATCAATGCATGCTTCTAGTCGCACAGCACGAATCGTACATGTATGCAGGCTATGTACAAGCTACGTAAAGAGAATTGCATAATTTGCAGCAGAAATAACAGAAAGTCAGTCATTGTTACGAAATAAATGCGGACTTGCACTTTAGAGTTAATTAGACAGACTGTTGGATATGAAATATGTCAGAAGTGTTTGATTGGGAAGGTTTATTTCGTGGAAGTGCTTTTTGAGGAAGGAATGAGTTTCGTACGAAAATTGAAAAACTAGCATAACTTTTGGTGAGTCCAGCCAGCTAACCAAACAGTCATATATGTATCGCTATGACTCTACACAACCAACAACTTAAAATGGACCTCGTTTTCTATGGAAAATGCACAAAAAACCACAAAGATGTTGCTTTGCCTCACTGGTGATTCCCTGAGTGACGTAAAAATTAAAATTTTATTATTTCACCAAAAGTGTCTATTGTTGCCAATTTTAATTTTAGCGTGCTGAATTTGAAATGATGATTTCTAATTTATTTTTATTAAGTTTGCAAGTCTGAATTGTAAATGAAGTTTCTAAGTAGACTTAAATTATTCTGCATTGTGTCAATATTTTGACATTTTATGGAGCTTTGTTTAAAGTCTAAATGAGAGTTTTTCATTTGCCAGAAATGCACTTTCTTATTATGAATGCTTTGAAATGGATCAGAACTGATTTATTAAGCTTCAACATTTTTTTGGCGAATTTTTGATCAGTTCTGCGTTTTAAGACCATCAATGATTAGGAGCCAGACTCTTCTCTTAATGCAACCTAGTTTCTAAAAGCTATTCTTAGACGCAACAGTCATTTCTAAATGCTAGACTAGCTTCGTCGTAAGACTAAATACTGAACTTATGCTTGACTAGCTTTTGAAACTTAGATCTAGATTGAAACGAAGACAGAGATTTTTTCCGGAAGTCTTTCTTCTTATCTTGCCCTTATCTGAACTATAACAATCGAACCTGCTTAATCTCCCCAAAATTTCCACCGCCTCACTCAAAATCAATCCCAATTAACTCAACATTCATTTCTTCTTCTTCCTTCCTCGCTTGTTCGTGCATTTAAATCTTTCAATTCAATAAATTTAGCTTTCATGATGCAATTGATGTGTCACTGCCTTCATAACTTGCAATTGTCTTCTTATTTATCGTAAGTATCGGATATTTTTGACATGCTGTGTGTAATTATAATTTAAGAGCTCATGGAAATCATTAATTGCTGGATTTATCGGATAGGAAGTTGATGCGCAAGTAGTCATTAATTTGTTGGGTTGCAGTTCCGTTTTGATGAATATTTTTAAATTTTATTGGGGGACTTGGCAGCGGTACAATAGATTCTATCATCGAACAGAATTGCAGTGCTTTCAGCTGGTCTCAACGTGTAGTATCATGTCGCTTGGCTGGAACCCACTCACATTATTATTATTATTACTATTGAGTTACTTGGAGTTCTTAAGTTGGATAATTTTGAGATTTGTTTGATTTTTGAACAAATTTAACCAGTGATCGTCAACCTTTGTGCCTCGGCATACTGGTGTGCCACGAAATTTCACAAATCGTCTGCTATGTGCGGTTTTGGACATTGCTTACCACCAAGGCTTGTCTTGGCACAAAAAAAAGGTTGTCCACCAATAGTTTAAGCCATTTTTAAGGCAAACTTAACTTAGCTTTGCATTTTTATGGACCAAAAAAAAACCAGTAACGAAAAAGAAGATAGGAGATTGTCGTATAAAAATCCTAGTTCAATACTCTATTGACCCTTGCAGACACTTTTGATAGACTCTGAACTTTTTGACCCTTCACTTTTCTTGGATGTGCTATTCAACCTTTCCAAAGGTCCATCAATAACTTAAAAGAACCACAAGACATCCCAAAAACCAATCAACCCACTTAAAACCAAAATTTTTTGTTCCTTAATTGCCGTTAAAAATCGCTCAAAATTGACCTTTTCCACTCGATTGCATTCAATCATTACAAATTAACGTCTCGAAATCACAAAAAAAAAACTCATAACAGCATAACAGACTGACTCACAAAGGCTATAAATAGAAACAAATAATAATAAGAAGAAAAAGTCAAACTGAGGAAGTTTTTGGTAAAGCTGAACGCAAAATATCATTAAACTGTGGTCGAGGATGTTGTTTTGGAGTCTAGGATGAGTATTAATTTAGTTTCTAGACCAGTAATGGGCAACCTTTGTGCTGCGACCTACTAGTGTGCCACAAAAAATCTCAACAAATTCCACAAAAAGAATTTTTTATCATGGCTTACTATTAAGATGTGCCATGGCACATATAAGGTTGACCAACACTGTTCTGGACATTGCTTAAAAGTAGCTTCTCAATGCACACGAACTTTTACTGAGGTCAGGCAGTTTAAGGGTTATTCAGTATTGTATCAGAAACAGGGACTGGTTCTTACGGCTATTGGAAGCACAATAGATCTGGAATTAATTTTGATGAACCGCAATATGTTATATAAACTAAGGCATTGTAAGGACTAAGGTAGATTGTCTTAGGAAAGCTTTGAAAATCAACCCTTGCTCTCACAAAAAGTCAATTTTGGTATGACTAAAGCTACTTGAGTTTTACAAGACAGGGGCGTAGCCAGAAAATTTTTAAGGGGGGGGGGGCATTTTCGAAAATTAAAAAACCGTTATTTTGTATCCTTAAATCTATATTCATTCTTCATAAGTTTAAATATTTAATTCATTATTCGTACATTAAATTTAATTTTTCGTGCTGATTTTGACATTTCTTTCATCACTTCCTCTACATTAACTAGTTCTTCTCTATAAATACTTAATAAAACAATTATCAGATTTTCGGAAGCCCCCCCCCCCCCCCCTGGCTACGCCCCTGTTACAAGACTAGTAAGAACGGATTTGACTTATTTCCATGATCCAAGATTATTTTTAGAATTAATCCGACCCCTAAAATCTACAAATTTCACATCATTCAATCTCACCAGTCACAATTAATCCAATTAATTCATGCAAAACCTTTCAATTTATCAAATTATGCTAATTATTTCACCAACCACACAAAATAAATCTCAAAAAAATAAAACTTACTGAAGAAAAATTTCCTAATACTTTCGAGTGTCGATGTGAACAGGTTTGGTTGACTCGTGCTCGGCTTTTGTGTTGTTGTTGTTGTTGTCGCGTCTGTTGAAACTGTTTCAGTTGTTGAATTTTTTACTCCATCAGCTGATGTTGTTGTGATGATTAAAAGGAACACGGTGATGAAGATGAGTCGGGAAGCTCGTTTGAAGTTCATTGTTGGGTTTTGAGGGGGTAAAGGGGGGGATTGATGAATTTTCGGTGATATTTGATAAGAATTTTGAAAATTTCACTTATTTAAAAATTGATTTTTTAAAAAATTTAAATTTTTTGGTCACGAAGTTTTAATTTTTCCTTTTTTTAATTATTTTGATTTACAAAAAATTGTTTTAAATCTTTTAATTTGTTTTGATTACTTTTTAAACTTTTTTGAATTTTTTCAAATTTATTTAAAATTTTCAACCTTTTTTAAATCTTTCAAAAATTGTTTTTTATGTTTTTCATATTTTTGAATGCTTTTTGTAGGTTTTTAAATTTTTTAATTTTTTGTTGAGACTTTTAAAATATTTTAACTGTTTTTTCAATTTTTTAAATTATTTCACATTTTATTTCAATTTAATATTTTCACAATTCACTAGAATTTCCTTGAATTAAAGTCACAATTTAGCTTTTACTGAACACAACACTTCTAATAATCATCAATTTTCTCAGTAAATTCATGCAGCTGTAGCTATTTACAGTCGTTTACAGCAACCATCATCAAATAACTAAGCAATTGAAGCTGAATAATGCAAATCTCACAGTAAAATACTCAAAATTCTGAAGGCCGTGACCAATCAAAACTTCAATTTATTCAAAAATTTACTCATAATCCATCAATAATTGTTCTTTTGATTTCAACTCTGAATTCAATTAATTTTTGTTAATCTCTAATCAGTCACAGAACATAACCAAATACAGACAATTACAAAACCGTTGATATAAATTATTTTATAAAAATTAATCTGACTGTCGCAATGAAGTTGAACATTTTAATAATTTATGGCAATCACATCATGTTCTTTGTATAGCTTTGTAATTGCTTTCAACATTCTCTTTTTTTTAAGGTTGCAGGGTTGGAATTAAGGGCGATAGCATGGGATTAAGGGTCGATTAGAGGAATCTAAGGGATTGTGGCCATTGAAGCAGCTGAAGTTGACTCAAAAATGAAAAAATCATAATTTTTGCGACTCCTTAAATTTATTTCAAGAGTGTGGAACTGATCACAATGATCAAAAAATTATCAAAATCGAATTTATCGGTTCCACGCCCTTGATTTATTTTTGGTGCAATTGAGCCGTATTTTTGTGATTGCGAAGGATAAAGCAGTCTTCAGACATTCGCTTCACTAGACAATGAACCTAATTGCAATCAGTAAAAGAAGTTATTAAGTAAGTTTGTCATTTTAAGTAGAACTTAGTGCCACAACCAAGATTGTGGAACTGATGAAATGAGCAAAATTGATCAAAAATGATTAAAATGTAATTCAGCAGTTCCGCACCCTTGGCCAGAACTCTTCTATTTGCCACTGGTTCTCCTAAATACGTTCTAAATAGATTTATGCTTACATGTCTCGAAACTTTAACTTAAAATTCCAAAACAGCACAGATAAAAAGGATTTGAGCATCAACTTTAGAATTTAACTTTACGAACAACTAGATTGTTGCTTTTTCTCTTCATGTGCCTATGTGGTTGAGAATTTTGATCGTATTCAGGTCTAAATACAAAGTTGACATCAATCGTGATTCATTTTCCTACATGGCGCAGAACAGTTATGAAAGAATGTCACCTTAATGTGCGGACAGACAAATTGTACAAACTAGGTGACAGAGCGAGCAACAGAGTCAGATGGAAGGACTTTTGTTGTTACCTATGATCCACATAGGAGCATGGTTACGGTAATTAAGTGCCTCATTTTAGGATAGAATCGAATTTCTAGCATTCAGAGTACTTGATTGCGGTTAACCTCAAATGCTCCCCAATATTTCATATCCTCAATAATTAAAGGCTAACACAAACTGCATCAAAATTGACTCTATACTAATAAGCTCCAGCTTACAGCTGCAACTAGCTCACAGCAGTGGTGCAAAACCTTTTTGTGTCATGGCACTCCTTGGTAGTAAGCTATGATCGAAATCACACACATATGTACGGTTCGTGGGATTTCTCGGTTTTTTTATCTCAGCCATTGAATGCCGCTGCACATGGGTTGGCCATCACTGTCTCACAATAATTCAATTACAACTGTAAGTTGATGCTAAATAGTAAAGAGTTCAAATTGACCAAAATACAAAATTGTTAAATTATTTAAGACTACCACAAAACATTTTAAATATTTTGTTTTCAAGTTCATCTTATCATTTCCCAACAATTCACATCTGATGTCCAAAATTGAGACTTACACAATTTTTTTTTCACATGTGATAATGAAAACTATAAAGTCTAGATAATGTTAAAGTCATGGAAAAATGCGGCATTTAAGAAATAGTGTAAGAAGGTCGTTGATATCACATCGTATGCAAATGCAGGAGATTTGTTGAGATTTTATGGAGTTTAGGGGTGTGATTTCAGTGATTGTGGTCAAATGGGTCAGGATTAGCATTGCTCTTTAACTTAAGCTTGATCTTTGAATTTAGAGTCTCCAATAATCTACACCAATGTTGTTTAAACTGTGTGCCTTAGAAAAATTGTGACAACGCAACGAACCGAACCCTTAGTGTGATTTTAATCATTGACTACGACTTAGGTGAGCCGTGGTATGAACAAGAGCTGTTTAGGCTGAATTAAAGTCAAAATTGGGAAACTGAAAAATCAAATTCGTTCATTTTTGATCATTTGTGATCATTATCACTACCTTGATTCTGATATGTGCCTAAGATCAGATCCTTAAGTACAAAATGAGGTACTCGAGGGGAATTTAGGGTTCAGATATCGAAATCGTGGCGCACAAGTCGGTTAATCGATTTAAAATTCCTCATGGCTCTGGCATAAAGCTGGTATTGATATAAATCAGGCTCTACACAAGAGTCAAGTCTGCTTTGCGTAGGATTTCTGATCGATTAATCGACTTGTTCTTTCCGGACAATCAATTGCTAGATTTGACCCCTAACCCTAGTTCACGTCCATTATATCCAAACTTAATCAACATCGTAATCCTGTGATATTTCGGATCTTCATTTTTGGGTCACACTGGTCAAAATATATTCAAAAATAATCGAAATTCCCATTAATGAGCCTTTTAGCCAACGAAATAAAGTTAATTAAATCTTAGATGTCAACAACCGATTAATCAATCTTAACTTAAATCCAACATCGTTAAAGAAACCGCGAAAAAAATGTTATTAAATAATTTGACCCAATTTCAAGCATTTTGTGATTAATGTGGCAATTTGAATCGCGCCAAAGATTAATTTATATTTTTTTTTCTAAAAACTTAATCTCATCAACTTTATTCACATTCAACACCCAACTGCACTTTGTATTAATCCACAAATATGTTATTTTCCAGTCTTTTGAGCATTTTTTTTGTGTACATTTATATTTTATTTAGCATTACACAATCTTCATGCACAGTGTTATAAGTGCTGCAGTAAACGATTGTAAACAAGTGAATGGGATTTTAGGCATACAAAGGTACGAGCATGTATGTAACGTCGAGCAAGTGCACGAAACTTTTTATTAAATTCTTTTTATATTTTACTTTTTTTTCTAATTTTTTTGGAACCGCGGAAAAAAAGTCTTTTAAGACATGACTCGACACTCAAGAAGCACAAACGCAACTGAGTCTATTCGCATTTTTTTCTACTGCTGTTGCTGCTTTTTTGCACATTTTATGATTTTTTTTTTCTTCGCTGTTTTTCTTCTTTTTTGTTTACTGAAACTGGTTTCGTTCAAATATGAAAAATGCAAGTTTGAAAGTGAATGGAGCAGGTGAAGGTTGAAGACACGGCGCATGGCGATAGCTGGATTTTGAATTACTGGTTTTTAAAATGTTTCTTAAATTTTTAAAATTATTGAAATTTTTTGTGAATTTTTTTCATAGTTTTTGCAATTTATGTAAAAAAATTTCAATAATTTTCCTATTTTTATATCTTTGTTTTTTTTCTACTTTTCAATTTGTTTTATTAGATTTTAATTTTGTTTTAAATGTTTTCAAATTAATTTAAATTTTCTTATAGTTTTTTTTTATATATTTTTGATTTTTTTACGACTTTCGAACTATTTTACAATTTTTGAATTTTTTTTAAAGATTTTTTTTTATCTTTTTGTTTTTTCACTTTTACAATTTTTGAATTTTTCACGATTTTTGTATTTTTTACATTTTTTTCATAAATTTTGATTTTTTGGTTTTTTTAAAATTTTTCGGATTTTTTTATACTTTTAAATTTGGTTTTTTAGCGCATTTTTGATAACTTGTTTTCGAAAAGGAAGCTTAATAATGCACTTTGTTCGTTCGTTCGTTTGCTCGGCTGGGTAAGCATAAAAACTTTTTAACCAGACATCGTAGAGAGCTCGGGTTTGTTTTATTAGCTTCGTTACTATTGTTTATTGTCCGATCGAACAATTAGAAGTCTGGAAACAGTGTATTTATGCTATAATTAATAAATTTTTGTTTTGTTTTCAGTGTAACCTACCCAAATTTTATTTTACCTCTATAATTTCAGCTTTACCCGTATAATTTCAAATTTTTTCTAGCCGTTGTAAAATTTCAAATTTTAAAAAACCGTTAAATGATAAACTTTTTCTATATGGAAATACATTGCAGTAAATTATTAATTATACTATAATCAAATACTGATCGCTTCGTCAAAAATGCGCTGAAGTCCCTCGATCAATAACACGAGGACTTTTGTAATTTTTTTTATACAATTTTTCAATTTTTCACTTTTTATTTTTTTTGAAATATTTTAATTTTTTTGTGATTTTTTTTTTATTTTCAATTTGTTTAAATTTTTTTTTGGACTTTTTAAACTTTTTTAAACAATTTTAATGTTTTAAGATTTTTTTTTCTTTATTTAATCTCTCATATTTTCTCAAATGCCCAAACTGCCTTCAACATCTACATATTTTCCTAAAAACCCACCAAACATATCACAAACTGCATATCCAAAACCTGAGAGAATTTCAGTTCCACTCAAATTACATTCCCAAGTCAAATTTGAGCAATAATTGACTCTCAATCACACTTGATCCAACACAAACATCTCAAAAAACTGATGAAACACAGCTCAGCACACAGCATGTTAAGCACAACATCATAAGCTTAAATCTGTAATGAAGATCATGGTCATGGAAGGTGCAAACAAATGTGAGAAATCGTGCTGGACTTGTGCAAGATCATTAAACATTCAAATCTGTTGGCATCGTCCGAAATGGAACTGCTAACAATATTTCTTCTTATTTGTTTTGTTGTTCGTGATGAATTGGATCACATTGATTAACGGCCAAGTTTGTCAATATCTCAGTCTTTTATTTTTGACAAGCTTTGAACTCTTTTGTTGATAATTGCTGGTTGGAATCTGTTGCAAGTCTCTTTTGTGAATAGATTTGTTAACTGCGTCGGACGGAATTGTTTTGTTTGTCTGAATTCTTTTTTGGGGGATTTCTTGCTCAAAAAAGCTTTTTAATTCTTCAATTCAAATTCAGCTTGTTGCCATGAACTTCTTCTTTACTTCATCATCATGTTCTCATCAATCTTAATTGCTTACTAATTTTTATTTCGATTAAACAATACTTGTGGATGCATAATTAGCATTAGTATTGATGAGTTTTGTGTTTAGTTGAGTGTAAATTCACTGATTCATTGTTTGGGATTTTGTCAATGTTACTTTTAGGTGCATTACACATTCCTTAAGATACAGGCAAGTAAAATCAAGCTTTTTAATGGCTTAGAGTGAACTTTAGGTAGCGATTTCACTTGCTTAGCTCATTGGGACAGTTAAGGCTCATAAATTAACACCAAACTCGAATCTTAACTACTCAAAAATGCAATTTATTGAACTTAAAGGTCTTATAGATCTGATTCTAAACTAATAAGCCCTGTTTTATGCTCTATTTAGGTTTAATTCCATTACATATATTCAAACTTAGTAAATTGATGTCTAACATCAAAGTTACATCAATAAAAGTTCACCGACTGACATAAAAAATCCAAAAAAAAAATTCCCACAAATTACCAAATGACCCGCAATTCAAACCAAAGCATTCAGTTTTTATTTTCTCAATCTATAACAAAAAAGTGTTTTTAGCACACAACTTAAAAATGTATTAAAAGTATCCAGCAATAGAAGCATAATCTTAGATAAGATTGAGGAAGTTATAGGCTTTGTGGATTTAATGTGGTAAATGCTTAAACTTTGTTATATAATTATTTCATTATAAATCGGGTGACAATGAGAATTTGGATTGGTTATATTGTCACATGGAAGAATAAGAAGTTTTCTTGAGTTATGTTTGAAGGTAATTTGTAGAAAATGTTGTTTCTTGTTTTGGTTAATCGATAATGTTCGGTTATGTTTAAGCCGTCCAACTGCACAATTTTGAGCGGGACAGTTTAGCTTTTTTGAACAAAATCGCTTCTAAAATCCTTAATGTCCCGCTTTTTAGCACATTTTTGAAACTTGTTTCTAAAAGGTAGCTTAATAATACACTTTGTTCGGCTGTTCGAGGCAAGAAAAACTTTTTAACCAGACATCGTAGAGAGTTCGGGTTTGTTTTATTAGCTCCGTTACTATCGATTTATCGACTAATCGAGTGGTTAAAAGTCTTGAAACAGTGTATTTGTACTTTAATTAATGATTTTTTTTATTTCATATGAAAAACACGTGATGGGTGCGTTTAGAAAATTGAATTATTTTCTACCGATATAAAAATTGTAATCAGGGTGCGTCCAGGAATTTGATTTTTTTAACCGATAAAAAATTTGAATTCCAAAAAACCGTTAAATGAGAAAGCCTTTTTATATGGAAATTCAGTGTAATGATTTGTTAATTACACAAAAATTAATGATCTTCTAATATTATCATGATCTGTAAGTGAACGCAAAATTATTAGATAGTCAAATACTGATCACCAACACAAAAATGCGCTTAAGTCCCTCGATCAATAACATGAGGACTTCTGTAATTTTTTAAACCTATTGTTCTTGGAAAGAGCTTGAAATTTTGGTCTGTCTGGTTTGAAATCGTGACATGTCTCTTTGACCCAAATTCGGCAAGAACCGATGGACAACGCAACTATGTAAGAAACAGGCTCATTCTTGGAGATTAAACTTGAATTAAACAAAGAAAAAATTGATTGTGACTAAAGTATGACACCCCGTGTGCAGGGACGGATTCAGGGGTAGAGATTTGGAGATTTAAACCTCTCTTTTTGGAAAAATCACTTCACTTTGTTAGGAGTTTGGGGTAAAAGAATCTTTAAAAGCACATTTAATTTTCAGATCTTTTCTTTATCTTCTTTAAAAATTTCTAAATTATCCGTAAGGGGCCGCCGTTCACTTATGACATCCATAAAAAACACGTTTTCTTGCCCCCCCTCCCCCCGCTGTCACAAAATTTCTGTAGAAAAAAATTCCCTTTATTTGAGCTGTCACAAAATCCTAGACCCCCCTTCACCCCCCTAAATGTTGGACGTTAAAAGTGAACGGCCCCAAACCTGCTGATGCATTGTTTTCTTATCTTCCTGAAAGTATTCTCATCAATGACCCACTTCATTTGTTTGTTTTGGCTATAAAATATATTATACAACAATTTAATATCATTGAAGTGCTATCTTCTTAATTGATGTCGATAATAGTCCTTAATAAATAACTGATAGCTAATGGTGATGCACCAAGAGTCAGATTAAACTCAAATCAACCAATTATAACTAGATATGAATCATTAACTCATCCTCAAGTGGCTTTAAGTAGTAAAAACTTTAAAAAAAGTCCCCTAAATTTATCAACTTAAAAGCAAACACTTGTCACCTGTTATAATAAAAGGTTAATCGTTTTCACGAAAATTACGTACAAACGCAGATTGCAAACCAGCTTACTGATAACATGAAAATGTATAAAAGGAAGGAAATTGATTAAAGGAGTTCAGTTGAAGATTTGAGTGACATCAGTTAAGAAATGGAGTCAAAAGTGATTGTGTCAATTGTGGTGCTGTTCTTAAGTTTTGGTGCTTCTTATTGTCAAAGTGTGGACTGCAGATACTACATATCAACTTACGGCTATACATGCGATTTAACTATAAATAACACAAATAGTTGGAATAATTTTACAACCATAGAAGGAACACACATGATTAACAGAACAGATGTCGATATTAGAAAAATTATTGGAGTATCTGGATCAACAAAAAATATCCCTTCAATAATATGTGAAAAATTTCCATTAACAACTGGAATTCAGCTTCCATCTAGATCAATTCAGACCGTCAACGATTATTCATTTAAAAATTGTACGAGGCTTACTATTTTGAATCTATATAGCAACAGCATCAACTCAATTCATGAGGAAGCATTTACTTACAATACAGAGCTGCTGATACTTCATTTGTATTCAAATCAGCTAACGACTCTGCCAGATAAAGTGTTCTCAAGCCTTCAAAAGTTGACAACTCTGCGATTGGATTCCAATAGGTTTGCGACTCTCCCTTCAACTGTTTCATGGTTTTCAAATCTTACAAGCCTAACAATTTTATATCTAAGCTCAAATCAAATCCAGGTGCTGCCAATAAATACATTCCAGTCACTAGGAAGACTACAGTCATTGTATATCGCATCTAACAGAATCACAAACTTAACAGTCGGTGTATTTGAACCATTAACTAGCTTGACTGCTTTGTCATTAAGTTCAAATCAGATGGCTGAACTTCCGTTGGGAATCTTCGATCCATTGGTCAATTTAGAAACATTAGATTTAAGTTCAAATCGGTTTCAATATCTTACACCGAACATGTTCAGTCCTTTGCAAAGATTATTATCATTGAATTTAAATTACAATAGCTTACATAATCTTACTATTGGCGCATTTGATTCTCTACGAAGTTTGACTACATTATCTTTGGGTTCTAATCTGCTCACATTGATTCCTGAGAACATTTTCCAACCACTGATCAATCTTCAAAGTTTAAACTTAGAATCAAATATGATTGAATATTTGCCTGACAATGTATTTGCTCCTATTAGAACATTGACATCATTGGATCTGTCATATAATAAACTTTCAGATCTGTCAATTGAATTGTTCTATCCTTTATTAAGCCTTCAATCTTTAGAATTGAATTCAAATAATATAACTGAGTTGCCATTTGACTTTTTTGAATCGTTAACGGCTTTGACTAGCCTTAACTTGGGATCAAATCAAATTCAGGAGTTACCAGCTAATATTTTTACTACTTTAGTCAGCCTTCAGATTTTGCAGCTTTATTCAAATAGATTCGCTACGTTGACTCCTGGAATTTTTGACTCACTGACCAGGTTGACTGGATTATACTTATGCTCCAATCAAATCACTGAACTTCCTCCAAACATCTTCGATTCTTTAAGAAATTTGCATGTGTTATCATTACATGGCAACCAGCTTGACCATCTACCTCCATATATTTTCAACAACACCATAAGTTTGACTAATTTACAGTTGTATTCAAACAAAATAAGAAACTTAACGCCTAGAGTCTTTGAGAACCTGACAAGATTATATTATCTATACTTACACTCAAATCAACTTCAAAGCCTTCCATCAGGAATTTTCAATGGATTAACTGGATTGAGATACATGCATTTGTATAGTAATCAGATATCACAGCTCCCAGATGACATTTTCAGCAACTTAGTTAACTTATATGAGTTGCAAATTCAGTCAAACAACTTGACCAGCCTGCCTATAGAATGGTTTGAAAACCTAAGAAGTTTGGAGTTCCTTTATGCATATTCAAATCAAATTGAGGAACTTCCAATCGATGTCTTTAGCTCTTTATTCAGATTGAGGTATATCTCGATGTACAACAACAGAATTAAGATTCTTCATGCTGGGTCATTCGGAGTTTTATCAAATTTCACTCGGGCTAACTTCTTCAACAACCAAATTGACGCTATTGATGAAGGTATCATCGATAACACACCAATATCAAGACTGGATGTGAGGAACAATACGTGTGTAAATAGTAATATTTTAGATACTACTGGAACTAGGGAGTCAATGAGGACAATTTTAGCGCAATGTTTTGAGAATTTTGTGATTTTGATACCGGGTAAGAATCAGTTTTATTGCTGTAGACTGACAAACTCACAGACAGCAATACAACCAGACAGACAGATATACAGATATTCTGATCGACTGACAGACAAACATTCAGCAACTTAACAGCTTTAATACTTATTTCTAATTCAACAGAAACCTCACCACTTCCCCCAACCACAACAGCTATAACCACAGTGCCTTATCAGACAACAACAGAAAGCCTACCTCCTGGATGTGTTGCAGGAAGTATAAATACACGAATTTGCAGTGTTGAGGATGAAGTTGAAGTCCTTAAAGAACAGAACGAAGAATTACTGACGAAAGTTCAAGAACTGGAAAGAAGACTTGAGAGTTCAACGAGCAATGTTGGGATTATACTTGATGAGTTGCAGTATCAAATGAGGGAGTTGAAAGGCTGTTGTGCGTGTTAAAACAAAGGAGTTAAATTTTTTTAAAATTTGTCATTTTTATTTTATTTATTAAATGTGCAACTATTTCGAGCAAAATTAAAATATAATAAAATAAAATATTTAATGATTTTGGTGCTTATTTATAGCATGGATAATTTTTAATTGTCTTTTTTTCAAAGCTTTCAATTCTTTTAGAATTTTTTTAACATTTTTATTTCATCAAATTCTTTAAAAATTGTCATTTCATTTAATATTGAGACTTTACAATGAGCTGAATTGTTAAAAAAAAGTTGAATATTTGAGATGAATTTGAAGGTTATTGTAGCTTTGGCCACACGGAAGTTCAAAGTTCATCACAAAATTTCACTAATATCAAAATTGATTTTTAAAAATTCTATCCTTTCAATCACAATAGTATATAGCATTTAGTATTATTCATGGGACGCATAATCTCAAACTTTTTGAACCTAACCTCAAAACTTTGGATCTTAATCTAAAAATGTTTGAAGCTAACCTTAAAATTTTGAATAATAACCTCAAACCTTTGAATTATAACCTCAAAACTTTGAATCATTTCCTCAAAATTTTGAATCATAACCTCAAAATGTTTGAACCTAACCTCAAAACTTTGGATTAAAACCTAAAATGTTGATTCCTAACCTCAAAACTTGGGATTAAAACTTCAAAATGTTTGAAACTAACCTCAAAACTTTGAATCATAACCTCAAAACAATGATTCATAACCTCAAAATTTTGAATCTAACCTCAAATCTTTGAATCATAACCTGAAAACTTCGAATCATAACCTCAAAATGTTTGAACCTAACCTGAAAATTTTGAACTTAACCTCAAATCTTTGAATCATAACCTCAAAACTTTGAATCATAACCTCAAAATGTTTAAACCTAACCTCAAAACTTTGGATTAAAACCTTAAAATGTTGATTCTTAACCTCAAAACTTGGGATTAAAACTTCAAAATGTTTGAAACTAACCTCAAAACTTTGAATCATAACCTCAAAATTTTTAATCATAACTTCAAAATTTTTGACTCTTGCCTCAAAATTTATCATCGTAACCTAAATACCTTTCAATAAATTAACCTCAATCTTCATCAATCTTAATTCGTCCTCAACTGATAATCCCCATTCTGTGTGATGTACCTAACCCACGGCAATGCCTGATACCCACTTTTCTCAATAATTTTCAAATACCTCACTTGTATCCCCGATGTCGTAAAATATGGAATTTCAAATTTCACTTGAATCGGTGGCTTGCCTTCACTATCCTCACACTCAACCGACGGCAATCCAAAATGTGCTCGCATCAGGAACTCTTTACCACCTGGAAATGACTTAATTGTCCATGTGATTGCATTCTGTTCTGGCGTGTACTTGACACTACCAATTGTCGTCTTAAACTTTGGACTGTCTGCATCATTTGGAACTGGAATGATTATTTCAACATTGTTTGCTGTCGATCGTCTTTTGAATTGTGATTTGGCCTTAATCATGTACTCTACACGACTATGTGCATGTCTTTCAATGACAGACTCTATCCAGATTAGTGGTTTCATGTGAGCACTATTGCGGTATGTCATGAGCTCAAACTCTCCATCGGGTGGAATGAAGCTTATTGTTCGGTCATTTTCGAACCTCGACAGTCGCACACATTGATGGAATTTAACATCCTCAAGTTCAATTGACTTTGACTTGCCACGTCCAGTTGACTCGAAGAGGACTTTGTCGTTAAGTCCAAGACGTAGTTCAGGCATTCCTGATAAATAAACACGCATCTTTATAGCACCAACAATTTCACTACGAAGAACATTTCCATTGGCATTTGCGAGGAGATTAACACTTTCAATGACGTCAAGGAACACTTCATTTTTTCGGTACTTGATGCCTTCAGATCGCCATGAGACTGCATTAGTTACAGCCATTGGAATTCGCGGTTGAATTTCAAGCTTGTGACCTTCTTGTGTGATGAATTCTTGTAAGATTTTACTGTCTGTGGTTTGTGGATATCCAAAGTCTATCAGCTCATCGAGCAGCTCATAAATTATGACAAAATTATCACGAATTGATTCCTCTTCAAATTCCTTAAAATACTCGGTAAATACTTGGACGATTTTATGGAGCATTGTGAATACTAGAGCAATATTTGCATTCTTTTTGGTTGTTGACACGATGTAGAGATTATTGGTTTTGATGTAGGCGAAGGTGCACTCGTTGGTTTGGATTATTGGCGTCACGAGGCCTTCCTCCTCTAGAATGAGTAATAGGAAGTTATTTTATCAGCATTTTTGGAATGACACCGTTCATAAATGACGTCCTAATTTTGTGACACTGAACGTCATTGATGAATAGCCGTTAGAGGATTGGCAATGGTTGGTAATTCAGCTAAGCTTGTGAAAAATCAGTGGTTTTTGATGTCAGTATCTATTTCAAGGGTCAATCGTAAATTAAGTTACATTGAAAATGATACTTTTGAACCCCCCCCCCCCCCCCTCCCTTTATGCCCTAGTCGTTATTTACTATGAGAATTCGAAAAAATAAATTGTTTTATTATGGATCTTAATCCTATCTGGATCCACCTTCTTCCCTTAGCATTACAAACGAGCTTTAAGTCAGTGGTTCTCAAACTATCCTCTGCAGATCTTTACTGTTCCTTGTGAAAATTCTAGCTGTGTAAATCAGTGTTGCGCTCTATGATGAACAGAAGGCTTACTGATGTGCAACCTATTAAATTTGAGAAGCACTGCCTTAGAACTGAATAGTTTGAGAAGCACTGCCTCGAGACCTAAGCGGTCAATTGAAAATTCATTACTCAATCCAAATCCATAAAAATTAAGCTTCATTTGCAAATTTACACAATTTCAACATTAATGACTCCCCCCGAACCCTATCTAACCCCATCAAACCCCCCTCAAACTTAGCCAAAACCCCACAAATCTCAACATCCAACTAACCTTTTTCCATCAACAATGGCATAAATTTATCAATCAGAGACGAGTCAATTTCTCCACGATAATTTCTTGAGATTAGCACCTTTCCTTTCACATCGAGGAGGAAAATTTGAAAGATCATGATGAGACTTTGTGTCTGCAGCTGCTGTTCGCCACGTTTGAGATTCCTTAAAGTTTAAATTGATCAGAAAAAACTATATTTTTTTTCGAGATTTTTTTTTTACTCAGACAAGTGTCGACAAGTGAATTAATGACGTCACTGTCTGTTGTTGTTCAGTTTTGAGGGGAAAAATTGGATTTCGAATATTTATTTGAATTGTTTTTGGTCGTTAATTTTGAGTGGTTTTAAAAAATTAAATTTCTTCATATTGTTTTGTCTTGATTAAGTTGTTCCTCTGGCAGGGAAGTAGCATCAACTATTTGTAAGAGAGGGATGAGGGGGAGGGGAAGTGTATTTTTTTGGTAGGGATGAAAAATGAATGGGGAGGGGGGGGGGTGTATTTTTTCAAAAAACTAACAAATTGAAGGATTTTTTTCAGTTGGGGGGTGGGAGGGGGGTTGATCTCAATAACCCCTGACAACATCCCTGGTCCCTGGTGATGACATTCTCGAATGACGTCCATGATTTTGTGAGAAGTTAGAAGGAAGAAAAAGGAAGGAGGGGAGTGGAAGAAGGAGAAATGGGGTAAAAGGGAAAAGGTGGGTTAAAAAATCGTGTTTTTCAACAATTTTTGGATCATCGACATCAGAAAACCTTCGGTGTTCCTATAGACATAACTATTGGTACGTTGTTGACTCAATATATCATTGTGCTGTCAAAAATGAGCTTAACATAGTTTCGTCAGAATCTGCAGTCATTACTGGAGCAACAGGAAACCATGATGACAATAAAGTCAACGAAGAAGTTCGTTACGTGGATTTTATGCTTATGAGAAGACAATTGAAGGACGTTGCTAAGTCGTTTCTACGTCATGCAATTTACTAGACATTATGTCAAGCGTTCAACATGGGATTTCAAATATGCTTCAGTTTAAATGCGCCTCTATCGACTTTAATCAATTATTTTTTTGAATAAATCAAAAAAAAAACCAATGACTTGATAAGGAAGCTGTGAATGAGTTTGGTTGAATTGACCTTCATATTTATTTTTACCTCCACATAGCACTGACACACGTTTACTGATCAATCCTTATCAATGAATTTAATAATTTGTCTTAATTCTTTGAGTCACTTTGTTGCTGTCATCTCATGTGACTTTGTGATTGCGAATTGAAAAGTTTATGATCTTATAGACCATTGATTGCACACACTTTATCACTCCTTGTTGAAAATTAGTGCAGTGCTTCTCAAACTACGATCTCTGATCCAGAGCTATTATCATAGTGTCTCTAAAAATCAAAATAGGTAATTAAGTGTGTCGATCTCTGAAAAGTTTAAGAATCAATGCCTTAAAGTGTCGTGACACACAGGTTTATCATCTTTATTGTACAACACAGTAATGCTCAACCCGTGTGCTGTGAAAAAAATGAAATATCCCACGAACCATAAGCTGTGTTTGGCTGTAGTCATGGCTTATCACCAAGTGTGCCGTGGAACAAAAAAAGGTTCGAAACCACTGGTTTAACATATCAACAAATCAGACAAATTCTCTTCATATTCACTCACGAGAGTAAAGTTTGTTGATTATTTTGTAGAAATTTGTCGACTTATTGACTCCAATCTGTCTTGAAGTCAGGTTTCAAATTCAAAATTAGCAGTTCTTATACCCGAAAAAAAGGCTTAAGAGGTTGACATTATGAAGATACTTTGGTGAGTTTTAGGTTGAATTGATAGCTACTTCACCTTAATGCAGGGGTGAAGCTAGAAATTTATTGATTTTTTTCTTAAATGGTCTTTACTCCCAATCACCGACCTTAGCTCCTCTTTTAACTCATTTCCACAATAAACTAAAGCTAATCCACAAAATCTCTCATCCAACAGCATCATCACATGCTGTCTACTCTCGTTCTCTTCCTTTTCATCATCAATCTACCTCGAGTGTTCGTACTACCATAGGACTTATGATACTATTGGCAGCATTTACATCTGTATCATCCACAATGACCTAAATATCCTGTCGATCCAGTCTGCCTTCATTAATGGAGCTTTTGGAGATCTTAGCAGCGACAAATCCAACGATCAAGTTCTTGGAATTACGGAAACTTACAACAAGATCCACTTCTTCCCGCGTGGCTTAAACAATGTATTTAAACGGCTTAAAATGATTGAATTTAAGCAGTGTGGACTTTTGGAGATTCATCAGAGTGACTTGATGCATTTGACAAGGCTAGAGTATTTGGATTTAGACAAAAATAATATTGAGGTCATTGAGGACGGACTGTTTGACTTTAATCCATCAATGAGGTTCATATTCTTTAGCAACAACAAGATTTTTGAGATACATCCAGAAGTTTTTGATCATTTGACTAAGCTGAGATATTTGTATATGGAAAGGAACCAATGCATCAACATGAATGCTAGAGATAGTCTGCATGGAGTCAAGGATGTCATCAAGCAATTTAAACTGAACTGTCCAAGTCCAGGGAATCTAAATTCACGATTGTCATCATCAAAAGATGAAGCAAGGCTGATGAGGATGTCGTTAAAAATTGATGCATTTGGAAGTGACTTGCAGAGATGCCAAAATTCTATTTTTGGATTGACTCGAGAGCTTTCAAGTTTGGAAAGAAGCTCACAAGCTTTAAATGCTGAAAATTTGAGGAAGCTTGAAAGTGTTGAGGCAAACTTAAGAGCTGCAAGAGCTGAAAATTCTCAAAGAATTCAAAATTTGGATGTTAAAGCTTCGAGCCTTGAAAAGACTTTAAAATCTTTCGATGTCGAGGATCTTCAGAATAAAACACAAAATCTCGAAAGTTCCTTCGATAGCTTAAAAGCATCAGAAGCTGAAACGACAAAAAAGCTCCAAACTTTAGAAAAAGCTCTTAAAAATACCGACGAGGACCTCCAAAGCTTCCGCCAAGACGTTCTGTCAGCTTTGCAGGAAATTCGCAACAAACTTGAAGAAAATTCGGAAAATATTGAAAGAAAAGCTGCCGATAAAATTGATGCAATGTCGATGAGCTTAATAGCAACTCAAACTCAAACTTTTGTGGATATTAAAGACCAAATAAGGAAGCTGGAGACTGATTTAAATGCACTGCAAGCAATTTATGTGAAAACTCAGAAAGAACATGAAACAACTTGCGATGCTGAGCAGGATGATGGAAAAATTGATGATTCAATTGCCTAAAAAGTCTTACTTGTCAATAATCAGCTACTAAATGACTCCTTAAAGCTTGTTTATTGTGCTTTTATTGGTGTTTTATTTTTGAATTTATAATAAATTCAATTTTTTTAACGGAAAAATTCACCGGTATTTGAATTAATTTTCGAAACTTTTCTGATGTTCGAAAGCACGACGCCCTCTGGTAGCCAATGAAAGAAACTTGATTTGCAGCCATCGGAGATAAATAAAACTCAGTCAAAACACAAAAAAAAATCAAAAATTAAACAATTTTCATCAATTTCAAACAGAAAAGTGCAATAAAATTTAAATATTAGGGACACAAAGCATTAAATTAAGTCAAGGTTTAATCTACAAACCACAAATTCAGCTAAGAATCACAATTTCAATTAATATACACAACAAAAAATAATAAAAATGTCGCGGAGTGTCCGAGCAGAAACAAGACAACGAGCAAAAGATGAGAAAAAGCATCATTTGAATCATTTGTCCTTTGCGACTAGGAAATGGTGAGTTTGGAGTGGTCGGAGGGATATGTATTGAGGGATTTGGTTTTTTAAAGGATTTTTGAGGATTTGCTGGATGGTGTTAGATCCAGTTGTGGATTTTGAACTGAAATATTCCAAAAAATTTAAAATATCCCTAAATATCCCTTAAAATATCCCTCAAAAATGCATTCAAAATTCTTAAAAAATCACCAAAACTCACATCAAAAATAATCAAACTATCCTCTAAATATCCCCCAAATCTCCCCTTAAATATCTCCTCATATATCCCTCAAAATTCACTTAAAATTACCAATAAAAAAATCACAAATCCTTTCATCGTAAAAAGTCAAAATATCCTTAAATATCCCTAAATATCCCTCAAAATATCCCCACAATTTTACTTATTTTCACAATTTTCTCTTTTTATTTTCCAGGGAGAAAAAGTGGGTCCAAATTGTCGACACAACAATGAAGGTCTACAAGTGGATTCCAGTCACAATGCCGCAGGACCAAAACAAGAAAATCCTTAAACAACTCGACTCCAACCAGAACTCAATGAGCGACAAAGAAAACTCAAAACTAACAAATGATCTCGCTGATGACTCTAATACATGCAAGTTTGATCGAATATTTAAAATTACAAAATTTCACAAATTTTTTTAAAAACTAATTTTTGAATTTTTTTATATTGCAATTTTTTAGGCTTTAGCTTTCCAAACTCCGAGTCTGGTCAGTTCCATCAAAATAGCTCCGATAAGTTTTTATTCTCTGAAGACTCAAACTCACAAAGTTCTGACACGATACCGGTGAAAAAGTTTAAAGGAAGTGACTGCTGAGGTGGACTTTGAGGCACCAAAATTTATTCTTAAGATGATTTTTTTCGACGCTGAAAATTCGGAATTTTTACTAGTTTAAGCAGCAAAAATGTGTGGGAATGGAGGTCTGATTTATTTGTGTGTGGACTTTGGTGGTCTAGTTGTTGTATTATGCAAGTAATTGGCTGCTAGGGTTGGATTGACCTGATTTCAAGATCTTTGATGATTCAATGAATTGAAAAAGTTATCTCAGACTATAAATGCAATTTAAGTATCTTTGAGGATAAGTTCTCTATACTATAGACCAGCGATGACCAACCTTTGTGTCGCGGAACGATAGTGTTTCTGGAAATCCCATGAATATATGTGGTTTTGGTCATAGTTTATCAGCTATAGTGTGCCATGGCACAATAAAGGTTGACAGCTGCCGATTTAAATCAGTGATGATTAACCTTTGTGTCACGGAACGATAGTGTTTCTGGAAATCCCATGAATATATGTGGTTTTGGTCATAGTTTATCAGCCATAGTGTGCCATGGCACAAAAAAGGTTGACAGCTTTCAATTTAGATCAGTGATGACCAACCTTTGTGTCGTGGAACGATAGTGTTTCTGGAAATCCCATGAATATATGTGGTTTTGGTCATAGTTTATCAGCCATAGTGTGCCATGGCACAAAAAAGGTTGACAGCTTTCAATTTAGATCAGTGATGACCAACCTTTGTGTCGCGGAACGATAGTGTTTCTGGAAATCCCATGAATATATGTGGTTTTGGTCATAGTTTATCAGCCATAGTGTGTATTGTCTCAAAAAGGTTGACAGCTGCCGATTTAGATCAGTGATGGTCAACCCATGTGATGCGGCACATTACGTGCCGTGAATTTTTTAGATATCTTACGAGCCGTATCCTGTGCGGTTTTTGTTATGGCTTACCAACAAGTTGTGATGTGACGTTAAAAAGGTTGACCACCACTGCTCATGGCAATGTCATTTACATGCTAAGCAGAGCAAAATCACAACCAAACCAAGTCCTTATTTTAATCATGAATAATTCAGACATTCATTTTCTTCGTATTTGTAGTGTTAAGTAAAATAAAGCATAAATATTAAAATAAAACTTAATTTAAAATCTGATATTTGGTAGTCTTTTGATCTTTAAATGCAAATTCAAAATTATAATCAGAAAAATTGTAAATAAAAATTTTAAATATTAAAATAATAATTTTTTTAAAATATTTTCTCAGATCAGAAGTAAGTTTATTACAAGTAAGAGCCAGGTTTGCTGAAAATCTTTAAAATTAAAACGAAATCGAGGCCCTGATAAGTCATTAAATTCAATTAAAAACACAAAACCACACTCAACTCTTTCATCCTACACGACTAATATTCCTGTAAATAAGTCACAAATGCTTCTTAAAAAATTATTGACAAAAATGATGATAAGAGAAAGACATGAACAAGTACATGATGGCGATAAGACTTATTTTGGTTTTGAAGAGTCAGTTCTCAAGTAAAAGCTGAGCAGTCTATTAACAGCGATTCAACAACTTACTTGAAATATTAAAGCAAAATATAGTAAATCAGGAACTTACAAAAAACATGAATTTAAGAAAATTAGGATTAGCAATTTTTATAATTTTAAAATTGGAAAATTTTACAGAAGGTAATTTTTATTTGGATTAGAAAAAACAGCATCAAAGTCATCTAGAGTCAGATTTTCAGGGCAAAAAGTCATCTAGAGTCTGATTTTTTGGGGAATAAGTTGCAGTTAAAGTTTATTATTACCTTAGCCCAGTGATGGACAACCTTTTTTGTGCCAAGGTTACCTAGATTGTAAGCCATGAGCAAATCCGCTCGTGGCACACGGTTTATCAGATTTTACAATTTAAGAGTGCCGCAGCACATGGGTTGGACATCACTGCATTAGCCTAAGTACGTAGCCAAGGAAAAGAGGGCAATTGAAAGAAAAATCCTTCATTTTACTCGAGTTGTATGAAAATCTCCTAAAATTATCCTTTCCTCTGAATTTTTAACACACCCCCTCTCCCCACCCCACCCAATCTTTAAACTCTTAGCTACGCCCCTGCTCTAGCTTTTAATACATTTACTTGCTTTGTGGTGTGAAAAGTTCGGGAACACTGCTTTAGGTCCAAGTTTGGAGTAAACCGACTAAAGTACATTGATCAAAATTCAGAGTGCTAGAAGCTGTTTTTAAAGATTCTAGATCACTAGTAATTAATAAACATGGGTCCTTGATTTAAATTGTTTCTACTAAAACAAAGCTTTTTTAACAAACAAAACATTTTTTTTTTCAAATCGAGGACCCCCAGTAAATTGAGATGACTATTAATAGTTTAGTGTACTCCTTGTTGCTTTAAAGACCGGCTCTAAAAATTAATTTGTTGACTTTTTTCTCTATTTTTAGCCCTTCGATGCTACTCATGCTCAATAACAGCCGCAAATACAGACATGAAGTGCTTGAATGATCCTGTCAGTGTTGAAGGACAAAGTGTTGTAAATTGTAATAAGAAGTATTGCACAATATTGAGACAGGAACTGATGGTAATTTATGAATTAGTTTTGAGCCTTATAGTGACAGTAACAAGGGTAAAGGTGGGACTAGTAGATCATCTTGGTTTGGTCTCTTGGGTCCAAGTTCTCATCAATCAGATGTCCGTAGAATATGACTCAAGTGAAACCGAGAAACCAAGCCTTCTTGCTTCAACAATGCTCAAATTGTGGAATCTTAGAGGATCTTGATATAAAGTCTAATTCAGAGTTCCGATCTGTCATAGGCAATCACCTGTCACTTACCTGTTAACAGGCAGTGAATGTGACAGCCACAGATCAGCAACTCTAGTCGAATTAACCTAAAACAAATCCAATAAAACATTTCAGGACCCACCAGGCAAAATCAACACATTTGTCAGAGGCTGCGAAGAAAAGCCAATTCTACTCGACGAAGTCATTGAAGATCCAACCTTCAAAACTTATTACCGCTCATGTTCTGAAGACCTTTGCAATAAAGGAGATGCGATTAAATCTCAAACGGAACTGAAAATATCACCAGATGGATATGAAGGAGAGAATCTTCTTGTGCCTGGATTACCGTTAAATGGAAGTGAATTTGTTGCTGGAAGTTTAAAATTGATTTTCGTTGGATTGATCTTGACTTGTTTTGTGGTGAAATAAAAATTAATTTAATCAAAAATAATTTGAATTTTATTCTTGGAAATCTTGAAGTTGATTCCGTAAGCTGGGAAAAATGTTATAGGCATAAACTTCTTGCACTCAATTGGATTGGCTGAGATGTCACTGCTCGTGAGTAATCAGAAGTGATTTCCCTTTACGCTGGTTTTGTTGTATATATTTTCACTTACTTCTAGTGAATGCGTGGTATGCATGAGGGTAGAAAAAGATTCAAGTGTAGCTGCACAGTCTAGGGTAGGAATCTGTGTATACCTGCACCAAAAAAAAAAGGTTAATGTTGACGCTGCATTTTAGAGGAAGAACATACCTAATACTATCGCACTAGCTTAATTTGTACCTTCCCAAATGACACTTACTCTCACTTTAGAGTGCTATGAGCGCTAAAAATGCTCAAGGGTGGGTACAGGTGCAGATGTAAAGGTGGGAATAGTTGTCCGTTCCTGGATAAAAAGTGCACAGCTTAGATTAGTTCTGAGATAAATCAACTAGCTAGAAAATGTGACTATAAAAAAAATCAATACTTTAGTCCAGGGGTTCTCAAACTATGTGCCGCGGCACACTGAAAAAATTCCAGGTGTGCTTTTTTGCAATTGATTGCTGCCCTAGATTTTAATGTTTTGATTAAAATTAAAGTACCGTGGACCAAAAAAGTTTGAGAAACACTAGTCAATGGTTTGCAATTTTTTAAATTAAGTCGTATGATCAAACCGACCGAACAGACTGTTGAAGTATAAAGACACTCAAGTATCAGAACATTCTTTTAGTTCTTGCATACTAAGTTCATTGACTTCAAACAAAGAGCTAATATCAGCATTTCACCCACCTGACAACTTTTCCACAACGATTTCTTAATTCCAGCAAGTTTCCTTGTCATTATCACGATCAAAGTCCAATCTCCAATCTCACTTGACTTATCATTCTTATAATTATTCAAACAAAGCAATCCCAGTCATAATGAGTAAGCAAATATCTTATCGGAATAATAAATTGTCTCTTTACTACTGCAATGAGGTTAAATAGGTCGGCTTAAACTACTCGACTCAGTCTTCATTCAGTCTTCTAGAACACAAGTTGATTTAAGATCTAGTTCCGATGGAATTAATTATTGTATTGATATTAATTATTTCAATTACTTTGATTTTTTTGGTGCGATGGCGGTACAATTATTGGAAGAACTTGGGTGTTCCATATGTAGCACCGACCTTCCCATTCGGGAATATCAAAGGAATGGGCAAGGAATATTCACAATTTGAGCTACTTAGAGCAGTTTATCAAAATTTTAAGAGCAATTCATCACCAATTGTCGGACTTTATTACTACTTATCTCCAGTCATAATAGCCAAAGACATGGAGCTTGTCAAGAACATTTTCACACGTGATGCAGATCATTTTATCAACCGTGGTGCCTATTATAATGAAAAAGACAATCCAATATCAGCTCACATCTTTAACCTTGACAATCCAAAGTGGAAAACATTGAGAACAAAATTAACGCCGACATTTACGAGCGGGAAGATAAAGATGATGTTCTATACAGTTTATGACGTTGCTGAGAGATTTGTGAAGAAACTAAGGAACGAAGTTGAAGTTGCGGTTGACGGTGAAATTGAAATTAAGGAATTTGCTGGACGATTTACGACTGATGTTATTGGTAAGAGTGGGTTGGGGTGTCTTAGGAATGTAATAGGCAGGCAGGTAGCCAGGAGGGTGTTGTCTCCCTCTTAAGCGTTTTAGGCCATACTCTTGCTGCAGTTCAAAATATTTAAGGAGGAAAACAAGACCGTCCTGGCTACGAGCCTGGTACTAGGGATAATAATGTGAGAGCGTTTTTGACAAGTGATGTGTTTACTGCAAGTTGCGACGATCTAGAGGCACTGCGATCCTGATCGATGATAGAATCTATTGTAAGCACTAAACACTAGGGATACTAACCTGCTTACTATGTTGGGAAACATGGCTTCACTTAATACTGGCTTTATTGCATGCTACCGGCTTTTTAATTCGCGATTCGAAGCTCAGCACTGTCTCTACCAACAGATTCTCTCCATAAGGGCTCTAGATTTCCCCTGTACCTTACCAAGGCACACCTAATCAACAATCATCTGATTTTCATTCTTCTTTACTAATTTTAACTTGATGTTCTTTCAGGTTCCGTCGGTTTTGGTCTAGAAATCAACTCACTCGACAATCCAACAACAGAATTCCGAGTACATGGCATTAATGCATTCGAGAAGCCCAACAATTCAACTCTCGTCAACATATTCTCTGTGGCATTCAAAGATCTTGCAAGGAAGCTGCATGTCATACAAGTTCGTAAAGATATCGAAGAGTTCTTCCAAGGAATCGTTCACCAAACTGTCAAGCATCGAGAAGACAATGGAATATCAAGGAATGACTTCATGCAGTTGATGATTCAGCTTAAAAACCATGGAAAAATTGATGGAGAATCGTTGAGTGTTGGGAAGTTGACAATGGATGAAATCACAGCTCAGTGCTTCATCTTCTTCGTAGCTGGCTATGAGACTAGCTCTACTGCTATGTCTTATCTGTGAGTATCTCTATTGCTAACCACCACCATCAAATGTAACCTCCAAATTCACTTCTAGACTCTACGAATTCGCCCAAAACCCACAAGTGCAGGAAAAAGCGCGCAAAAATGTCCAACAAGTGCTTGCAAAATACAACAACGAGTTGACATATGAAGGAATTAAGGAAATGGATTATTTACTTATGTGTGTTAATGAATCACTTCGGAAGTATCCACCAGTCCACACCCTACTCAGGTACTGCAATAAGGACTATAAGATTGAAGGCACAAATTGCACAGTCAAGAAAGGTCAACTTGTCATCATTCCCGCTTATGCAATTCAGCACGACCCGGACATTTATCCAAATCCTGAAGTTTATGATCCGGACAGGTTCTTGCCAGAGGAAGTGGCGAAAAGACCGACTTGTTCATTTATGCCATTTGGACATGGCCCGAGGAACTGCATGTGAGTTACTTTTGTGATTGAAGATTGATTGGATTTTATTTTAATTGACTTTTTGGTATTTTCAGTGGACTGAGGTGAGTTAAGGTTGAAAGTAGTTAGGTTTGGTCCTTGATTGTAACATCATTTATGCTCCAAAGCTGAAATAAATCACAATTTGACATAAAATGTTGAAAATCTTTTCAGATTCGGAGTCGTACAAGCTCAAATTGGACTAGCGATGCTATTGAAAAATTTCAAGTTTGAGACCTGCTCGAAGACAGTCAATCCGATTGAGTTCAAGAAGTTTTCGACTATCATGTTGTCACCAATTGGAGGAATTAACTTGAAGGTGTCCAAAATTTAGAAATGTGAAATAAAAATAAATTTATCAAACCAAAAAAAACAAGTGTTTTGGTGGTTGCAGCTGTGTAGAACATCATGAATATGTTTTTTAAGTTTAGCTAGATCAGTGGTTCGCAACCTTTTTTGTGTCACGGCACCATGATAAAAACCACACACAGCATACAGCTGTGTAGAAATCTCGAATTTGTTCAGTGAACACCAGTGTACCGTGGCACATAAGTTGTCCATCACTGGCTCGTGACTCATTTTGATATAGATCAATTACTATCTAAACTTAGCATCATTCTTTCATTATTATTAACATATTTTTACATGTTTTAACAGAACATGTTTGCCTGCATTTCCGTAGGTTAACTTCCTTTATGTTGAATGTACATTTCCTGTGTTTTATCTGAAATCTGTCATTATGAAGGTCGAAAGGCTTTTGACGAAATGAATTCCTATGTTTCTGACAAATCTAGACAATAAGGAAGTAAAAATGAATTTTTTAAAAATTCTCCTCACAATTTATTACTTTAAGCTTTCAAGCACTGCACTCAATAGTCCAAATGTGACCTCAGAAGAAGCTTTAACATCAACAGCAATTGCTGACATTTGTGAGGAATTTTTCATCAAAAAATCAATAAAATTTGACTTAATAATTTATGGCGAACGTACGCGTCATCTTGAAGATGTTGCTGATGGTGTTTTGGGGCTGATAAGCAGCTTTGCATTAATAACTGTCCAGCATGTCGAAAATATCACTCAATGGCATCACAATCTTGAAGATTCAGCAGTTCTTCTCTTCAAAAACACAAATTATTTAACAAATTTCAATTATTTGACAAATTTAACGAATTTTTCACCAAAAGAAATGAAATTTTTAATTTATTGTGAGAATTATGACAATTTTGAAGCAGTTCCAGCTATAATTTACTACAATGCAGACGGCGCTCATATCAGTTCTTATGAATATTTCATTATAGATGCCAAAGACAACATCCAAGTCATGACTTTTGATCACTTTAGGGACGACTCTTGCAAATCAATCGTCTCAAAAAGCTACAAAATTGTGAACAACTTTAAAAAGTCAGCTTTAAAATGGCAGCAAGAATTGACAGCAGATCAAAAGTTTGTAGACTTCAAAGGCTGCATGCTGACTTTAACAAGCTAATATAACCTTGAAATGCACTTTAATAACCACAACAAAGAAGTCATCGACTGTATGGTGCGCCATGTCCGTGATAAAATTTGTATTGATGCCGTTGAAAGGATCTTAATGCTGCCGGATGTTAACTATTATGGAATTGCATATGAAGTCTTTGAAATGCTCGGACGGAAGGCAAACTTTGCCACAAATTATCAATTTTCCATCGATGATCGTTTGTTTTCAAAATCTGGTGTCTTAGTGGATCAATCAATTACACTTACTCGTGTGACGGTGAATTTCATGGAAAATGTTCACATGTCTTCTGTATTTTTGGACTTTAATATCGAAATTTATGTGACTCCAGCGGAATTGTATTCAAATTTTGAGAAGCTTTTTGATTCTACAATTTAGCCTTTTGATTCTACAACTTGGATTTTGTTGCTCACGACCTTCCTTGTTGCTGCATTTGTAATTATCTTTATGGAATTTGCATCTAAAAATACAAGAATTCTTTTTTACGGACGAGGAATCAACACACCTGGCTTAAATGTCATCAAAATCTTCTTTGGAATTGGACAGACTCGACTGCCTCGTGAGTCAATTTTGAGGTTTATTTTAATATTTTTCGTCCTGTTCTGCCTGATTATAAGGACATGCTATCAAAGTAAAATGTTTGAGTTTATCACGACAGACATTAGAAAGCCAGCACCAGAGACACTTGAGGATGTCATTGACAGAGGATATACGTTTGTTGTTGTAGAGGATCCGGTGGTTTTTAGTGAATTTCTTGTTGGTGTCATTGGCAGTGCTGGTGAAAGGTAATTGCCAATGAAGTTCCTTAAAAATTTAAATCAATTCAAACTTTTTTCAGCAGCCTAAAAATAAAGTCTACAAAATTCGACATTGACTGCATCAAACTTTACTGCCAAAGCATCCAAAGTTCATCAAGTAAGCTTGCATTCATCCACACCAGCAAGTTCTTTAGCAACACAAATTCAATCTGTGAAGGCTCACTGATTAAACTCAAAAATTTTCATTTGAATGCCATTCCAGCTGGCTTAAGATTAAACATGAACAGCATTTTACATCCAATTTTCATTGATGTTATGGACCGAATGATTGCATCTGGAGTTCTTCAGTATCTGGAAACTTTCAGTTCTGAAGCATTGTTTGGAAAGTATCAAGAAGTTGAAGACAATTTGCCAAAAGTTTTTGCACTCGATGACTTGAGTTTTGGATTTATTTTGTGGATATACGCGTGTGGACTGTCAATTAGTGTGTTTTTATTCGAATGCTTAAAGGAGGTTTTGGGGCTGATTTGCTTGTTGTTGAATTTAGTCAGGAGCATGCCATATTCTCATTTGCACGCTAGTCATCATGTTTATCAAGATTAGAAATCGAAAGCTAGTTAAGAACTCCTGATTTGGTACCGTAAAGCAGACACCATTAAGCTGTTCATATTTACAAGAATGTCGTTTATATTTGTCAGCCTTAAATGACTAACAACTTCTTCGTCTTGTTGATTTTAATCGATAAATTTGTTAACATTCATTCTTAAATCCAAACAGAACCGATACAAAAAAGTATTTTACGCATTCAGTTCCTAGCATTCTAGCACAAGAAGTCATGAAAATATTTTTAACGCAAATTTGTCTAATTTTTTTCATTAATTTTAAGTCTGCAAGTTCTTCAAAGTTTGACCAGATTTCAATTTTAGAGTCTTCTTTGGTTCCAACAGTAATTTTTGAAATTTCCGTGGAATTTTTCATCAAAAAATCAATAAAATTTGACTTAATAATTTACGGTGAACGTACGCGTCATCTTCAAGATGTTGCTGATGGTGTTTTGGGGCTGATAAGCAGCTATGCATCAATAACTGTTCAGCATGTCGAGAATATCACTCAATGGCACCATAATCTTGAAGATTCAGCAGTTCTTCTTTTCAAAAGCACAAATTATCTAACAAATTTCAATTATTTGACAAATTTAACGAATTTTTCACCAAAAGACATGAAATTTTTAATTTATTGTGAGAATTATGACAATTTTGAAGCAGTTCCAGCTATAATTTACTACAATACAGATGGCGCACATATCAGTTCTTATGAATATTTCATTATAGATGCAAAAGACAACATCCAAGTCATGACTTTTGATCACTTTAGAGACGATTCGTGCGACTCTGGAACTCCCAATGATTTCAAAATCGTGAACATATTCGATAAGTCAGCCTTAAAATGGTACACAAATTTTACGTTTCATAATAAATTTGTAGACTTCAAAGGCTGCATGCTGACTCTAACAAGCTAATACAACCTCAATATGCATTTTAATGATCACAACAAGGAAGTTCTTGATTGTCTAATGTCACAAAACAACGATAGCGTTTGTATTGATATTGCTGCAAAAATTTTGATGTTACCTGATGTTGGTTATAAAGGATTATTTTATGAAATCTTTGAAATGCTCGGGCGAAAAGCAAATTTTAGTCCAAACTATCAATTTGAAATCGAAGGTCAAAAGTTTTCAAAATCTAATGTTTATATGAATCAGACAATTACACTCTATCGTATTGGACTGACTTTTCTAGAGAATTTCCACATGTCTTCTGTTTTTATGGATCTTAATATTGAAACGTTTGTTACTTTATCGGAATTGTATTCGAACTTTGAAAAGCTTTTATTGCCTTTTGATACCACAACTTGGATATTGCTGCTCACTACCTTTCTTTTTGCTGCATTTGCCATTATTATCATGCAATTTACGTCAAAAAATACAAAAATGTTCTTTTATGGACAAGGAATCAAGACACCTGGTTTAAATGTCACTCAAATCTTTTTTGGAATCGGACAGACTCGATTGCCTCGTGAGTCAATTTTGAGGTTCATTCTTATCTTTTTTGTCCTGTTCTGCTTGATTATAAGGACATGCTATCAAAGTAAAATGTTTGAATTTATCACGACAGACATGAGAAAACCTGCACCTGAGACAATCGAGGAGGTTATTGACAGAGGATATACATTTTTGATAAGTGAGGACACAAAAGAGTTCAATAGGTTTCTTGTTGGTATTGTAGAAAATGCTGGGATGAGGTAAATATTCTATACCTAACCTATACCTAACCTATACCTAACCTATACCTAACCTATACCTAACCTTTACCTAACCTTTACCTAACCTATGCCTAACCTATACCTAACCTATACCTAACCTATACCTAACCTATACCTAACCTATACCTAACCTATACCTAACCTATACCTAACCTATGCCTAACCTATACCTTACCTATACCTAACCTATACCTAACCTATACCTAACCTGAACCTAAACTATTTAATTTCCTACTCAATAATTGCAAATTTTTTAAAGCATTAAAATTAGGCCAATTAATTTTGACACGGACTGTATGAAGATCTACTGTGATAACATCAACAATTCATCATTAAGGCTTGCTTTTATTCATACGAGTCAATTTTTTAAAAACACAAATTCCGTTTGTAAAGGTTCATTAGTTAAAGTCAAAAAATTCCACATGAATGCAATTCCAGCTGGCCTAGGATTGAACGTGAACAGCATATTGAGTCCAATTTTTAATAATATCATGGATAGAACTATTGCAGCTGGAATTCCTCAATACTTGGAGAGCTTTAGTTCTGAATTTTTCTTTGGAAAATATCAAGAAAATGAAGACAAAATGCCAAAAGTTTTAACACTTGAAGATTTAAGCTTTGGATTTACTTTGTGGTTGTGCGCGTGTGGATTGTCAATTTCTATGTTTATATTTGAATGTTTAAGAGAATTTGTGGCACTTATTGGCTTGCTGTACAATTTAATTAAAAACATGCCTCAGAATTCTCATATTCAAGCTAGTTATCACACCAACCTAAGCCTACAGTTGTCTGTTATGCCAATCGAAAGCTCATCTTCATATAACCCACAATGTGCTCTAAAAAGGAAGTCCAGACGGAAGCAAAGTAACCTGAAATTAGGGAATGCATCGGAAAACTTCAAACAAACAGTGAAGCCAACAAATGTCTGAAATCAAATCAATTCTCTTAGTTGCTCATTCATTAGCTTCATCGAACTGTCATCAAATCTGTATGGCTGTATGGCTGTCTGGCAGTCAATCCTTTATAAAATCTTATTTTTTTTGATTCTCAAGGTCACTGGGTCAGTGAGAATTCTCAGTCTAATGACTTAATGCTCATATTGATCATTTTTGTGATAATTGCAGTCATTGTATTTAATTTTATCTGTTTTTTAATGCTCGCTCATCTCTTGACTAATTCCTAATTAACATTTTTTACTCTCCACTTACTCAAATACATTTGTGTATTTTTTCTGCTCTCTCGGATATTTAATTACACATTCAGCTTTGCTTTTGTGCTACTCAGTATCTCACAGTTGTTATTTAATAAGCTAACGATGTGCAATAATTCTCAAGTTAGATTTTACAAGGCGAATTACTCATTGTTGTGAAGATATAGATATTTGAGTTAATAAGAAACGCAAATAAAATTATTGTGATGTTATTGAGGTGAAGTTTTAATCTATTTGGAGCAAACTTTAGTGTTTTATGATTGTTTGACATTTTGGGCTGAGAAAGCTTGAATTTTTGAGTTATAATATTTTGAAATAAAACAAACGTTTCTTTTAAATTTGTTTTTAGCGCATATTTGATACTTGTTTTTAAAAGGTAGCTTAATAATACACTTTGTTCGGCTGTTCGGCTGTTGGGGCAAGAAAAACTTTTTAATCAGACATCGAAGAGAGCTCGGGTTTGTTTTATTAGCTCAGTTCTGTCGAGTTATTGGCCAGCCCAATAGTTAAAAATCTTAAAACAATGTATTTGTACTTTATATGATGATTTTCTTTATTTCATATGAAAAACACGTGATGGGTGCGTTTAGAAAATTGAATTATTTTCTACCGTTATAAAAATTGTAATCAGGGTGCGTCCAGAAATTTGATTTTTTAACCGGTATAAAATTTGAATTCCAAAAAACCGTTAAATGATAAACCCTTTCTTTATGGAAATTCAGTGTAATGATTTGTTAATTACACTAAAATTAATGATTTTCTGTTTTTCTAATGATCTGTAAATTAACGCAAAATAATTAGATAATCATATGCTGATCGCTACGTCAAAAATGCGCTGAAGTCCCTCGATCAATAACACGAGGACTTTTGTAATTTTTTTTTCTTTTTTTCCTTTAAAATTTTTTTGAAAAAATTAAAGTTTTTCCAGATTCCTTACACTACTCCTGCTCAGTTCGTCCACAACCTCCTACATCCTTCATTGCACCTTCCGTATGAGTGGCTGGTGGGATGGTCCAATGTTCTACGAATGTGAAGACACAGTCACAATCATTAAGTCCAAAGACGAGCGAAAAATCACAGAACTTAACGGAACTCACCTTAGAGGACGAACCAACGACGATGTCTTGTCATTTTATGCTTACCGCATGAACATCGCTTGCTTCCCAAAGGGACTTGACACTTATTTTAAGAATATTCAATATTTGGGAATTGTGAATGCAAAGCTTAAGGAAATCCATCAAGAAGATCTGAAGCCATTTTTTAAACTTAAAGTTTTGTACCTCGACAGCAACGACCTTGAAGTTTTAGAAGAGAATTTATTCGAATTTAACACAAATTTGGAGGTTATAAACATCAATAGCAATAAAATTAAGTTCGTCGATGTCAGCGTCTTCCGGAATTTATTCAAGTTAAATTATTTGTGGTTCGACTACAACAATTGCTACTCAAATAAAGTCAGCAATGACTTCAGAGGGGTTCGGAAAATGATTAACGAAATTAATGAAAATTGCTTCGTCAACAACATTTTGTCAGATTTTAGGAAGTTCCAGGAAAAGGAATTGACAAGTTTGAAAGCTGAAATTGAAATTTTGAGGGTAGAAAATGCAAAATTGAGGGATGAAAACACAGAATTGAAGATAAATGAGGCAAAATGTTTAAATTTGAGGGAAAATTTAGGAAAATGTGAAAAAGAAAAAGAAAATTGTGAAAATGAAAATGGAGTTTGTGTTAAAGATTTAAAGAACTTTGCTGATTTGACAATATCAAGAATAAAATGTGAAAATTAATCATTTTTTAAAAGTTCTATAATTTTATTGGAATTCTTTAAATATTGACTTAGATGTGTTTGCCATATTTTGATACCATTTTATACAAAATTAACTTCTGCCTCATTGATTGACAGATATAAACATAGAGTCACACCTCGGGCAACATGATGAGTCCAGGATTAGTATCTAAATCTTCCTTTTTGGACCCCTAAAGTTTTCCATATGAAAAAATATTTTGTCCCCCATTTCTATTCTAATTCCTTGCTGCGCCCTTGCTAAGCCAGTCCTGAAAGGCACACTTAAAAGTGCCTTAGCTTAAAAATGGCAGAAAATGTGGCACCGAACGGCATCAACCTAGATAACACCAAATCCAGAGTTGTGCCGCGTTCATGCCGACTTGGTGCCACATTTTCAGGCCGTGTGCCTTTCAGGAGTTGTGGACAACCTTGTTTTATACCTCGTTACATATTGGTGGTATTCCGTCATACGGTTCAATAGATTTGTGGAAGTTTTTTGAGGCACACTAGTGTAAAGGATACTTGAAAACCACATTATCTTTAAAAATACTCTATAAAGGCTTTTCTCCTGATCTACAGTCTTGTCTAGCTTCCTGAACATGACTCTGTGAGTGATTTTTAACTTCCACGATTTTCCAAAAAAAAAAAAAAAATTTTCATTAGAAGCTCAAATTTACCACAAATCAGTTCATGTTAAGGACATGAAAAAATGAAAATTAATTTTGTGACTATTTTAATAATTTTTTACTGTCCAGCGCTTGTTAATTCAGCTATTAAAAGTCAAGCTGTGACTACAGAAGAGTTACTGGTGTCAACAGGAATTTCTGACATTTGTGAAGAATTTTTCATCAAAAAATCAATAAAATTTGACTTAATTATTTACGGTGAAAAGACACGTCATCTTGATGATGTTGCTGATGGAATCTTGAGGTTGGTTGGACATTCTGGATCAACAATTGTGCAGCATGTCAAGAATATCAATGTCTGGCATCACAATCTTGAAGACTCAGCTTTAATTCTATTCAAATCTGCCACAAATTTAGCTCAATTCAACTCCAAAGCTGCATTCACAAATCAATGGCCAAAATTAATAAAATTATTAATTTACTCAGAAAATTACGAAGATTTTTTGAAAGTTAAAGCTGTCAATTACTACATATCCGATAAACCAGACATTACATCCTACGAATACTTCATAATTCCAAAGAAATTCATAATTACGTTGATGACTTTTAATCATTTCAAGCATAATTCATGCAACAAAAAGGAGGTCGAGTTGATCAACTTTTACTACAAAACAACGCAAAAATGGAACAAAACCTATAAAAATTACAGGAACTTTGAGAATCTCAATAGCTGCATGTTGACATACACAGACTCTTTTGGACCAACTTATCATTTTAATAAAGAAAATCAAGCAGTGTCAAACTGCATAAAATTGTCAGCGCCAGATTCAACATGCCAAAGAATGCTAGGAACCATAGTTGAGCGTCCAGACGTAAAGTTTAGTGGACTTGCTTACGAAATATTCGAAGCAATTGGAAAACGTGGGAATTTCACAACAAATTATCAATTAAAGGAAGATTCAGGCCTTTATGTTAAGCATAAAGCTATGATTGATCAAAGCATAACAATCTTTCTTAGCGTCCAAAATGAAGGCATGCTTAAGTATGTCCACATGACATCAACATTCTTCGACATTGAATTCGGAATTTACGTTAATCCGGAGGAATTTTATTCGAACTTTGAGAAGCTTTTGCTGCCTTTTGATGACACAATTTGGACTTTCCTGCTTTTCATCCTGTTAACGACAGCATTTGTGATCTTTGTCATACGATTTAGAGCCTATAATCTTTTCTATGGATTTAACATCACCACGCCAGCTCTCAATGTCGCTAGAATAATATGTGGAACTAGTCAGTCACGTCTACCAAAGCAGACAACAGCAAGATTCATTCTTATTACTTTTGTCATGTTCTGGCTCATTATAAGGACATGCTATCAAAGTAAAATGTTTGATTTTATCACGACAGACATGAGAAAGCCAGCGCCGAGAACATTGGACGATGTGATTCATAGGGGATACACGATTGTAATGAGGGATGATCCTGTAATGATGGAACCTTTGGAAAGGGAGCTGATGAGTATAAGCAAAAGGTTAGAACGCATGTTTGGTCAAAATCTGGACCAAACCTCAATCCTAACCTGACCATAACCTGATTCTTACCACTTGACTCTAACCTGACTCTAACCTGCCCCTAACCTGACTCTAACCTGACTCTAACCTGACACTAATCTGAATCCAACCGTAACCTAGACTCAACCCTAACCTAGACTTAACCCTAACCTACACCACGTCAAGCCCTACTAAAGAATTCTTAAGCCTAAACAATTCAAGAAAAAAAAATTAAATTTATTCTATTTCCAGCACAAAAGTCCTGATTGTCTCCGATGAGAACCATCTTACTCAACTTTACTGCAATAGTGTACTTGATTCAGCTCTTAAACATGCCTTCTTAATGCCAATTTCCAGTGAATCTCCAATGAGCTCAACATGCAGTGGTTCTTTGATTCAAGTACAAAATTTTCATCTAAATGCGATCCCAGCAGGTCTTGGGATGCTAAGGAACAGCATTTTATATCCATTATTTGATGAAGTTGTGAAGATGTTGATTCCATCTGGGATTCTGCAGTATCTGCCTGAATTTTATTTTTACCTGCTGCATGGAAATAATGATTGGATTTCGGTGCAGAGACCGAGGATTTTAAATCTTGATGATTTGAGTTTTTTGTTCATTTTGTGGATATCTTCTTGTGGATTCTCATCGATTGTCTTTGTTGCTGAGATAATTAGATATTTTGTTATAGATAAGACGGTTATTTAGAAATGATAATTTTAATTTTGGTTATCCTTTATGCGTAGAAATATTTTTTGTCACCCTGTATGTAAAATTTTTATTTTAAATATTTAAAATCTATTTGTAGTGTAACATAGGTTAATGATTAAATTTTTGGTCACCCTGTATATTACATCAAGTTTGGAAATTATTTGTCACCCTGTATTTTCAAAAGTCAATATTCAATGATTACGAATATTGAATAACTATTTTTCATCTTTTTTAAGAAAAATATTTGTCACCCTGTACCAAAAATTTCAATGAGTTTTTGAAAAAAAAATTAAGTTGTTTTAACTCCAAACAAACTGGATACACCACTGATGCCCCACGAAATCAGTTCTTTATAATAATTTAATTCAATTATTTTTGACATTTAAATTCATTTGAATTTCAGCTTTGGTGCCACGAAGGTCTCCTATAAATGATATTTTTAAATCTATTGATCTTAGTCTCATTTTTGAGCTCCGCACATACAGCAATTCATATACTCAGTCGGACATCTGATGAGTTTCTGGTGTCAACAGCAATTGCGGACATTTGGAAAGAATTTTTCATCAAAAAATCATTAAAATTTGACTTGATATTTTATGGTGAAAGGACACGTCATCTTGGTGATGTTGCTGATGGAGTTTTGATGTTAATTGGACGTTCTGGATCAACAACTGTGCGGCATATTAAAGAAATCGATCAATGGGACCACAAACTTGAAGATTCAGCTATAATTTTAATCAAAAATGCTGACTTTTTGAACTTTTTCAATGTCAAAGCAAATTTAGTCAATACATCACCAAAAGATTTGAAATTCTTAATTTATAGTAAAAGCTTTAAAGGAATCCAAAATGTTCCTATAGTCGATAGCTACACAGATGACACTTTACATATCAGTTCCCTCGAATGCTTCATTTGTGTTAAAGATAAATCCATAGAATTCATAATTAATGATCATTTCTCGTCTTATTTTGGATGTAATGTCCGAATACCGCGACTTATAGCTGGGTTCAACAAAACAACTCAAAAATGGGTTAAAAAACCTCAAAATTATAGAATTTATGACAACTTCCATCACTGCGCACTGACATTTCAGGATGTTTTTAATGGAAACTTCTACTTTAGCAGGTACAACAGCGAATACACAAATTGTCTTAAATCTTATGGCGATGCTCCCATCTGTGTTGACATTCTTGAAGACATTTTCAGACGTCCAGACGTACAGCTTCGTGGACTTAAGTATGAAATTTTTGAAGCACTTGGAAAAGTCGGGAATTTCAAGCCAAATTATCAATTTTTGACAAATCATCGAAAAATAACAAAAGAAAATATTTTTTTGGACCAAAACATAACAATTTGTGAAGCAATTTACACTGATCAAGTCTTGGATAAGGTTCATATGACGACATCAATCTTTGACATTCCATTTGGAATTTACGTAACTCCATCGGAATTTTATACGAATTTTGAGAAGCTCTTGTTGCCATTTGATGTCACAATTTGGGGTTTGTTGCTTGCTACCTTCTCTGTTGCTGCACTTGTCATCCTTACGATGCAATTCGTGTCGAAAAAAGGCAAAACATTAGTTTATGGACGGGGAATCAAGACACCAGGTTTAAATATCGTTCGAATCTTTTTCGGAATTCCAAATACTCAAATTCCTGACGAGTCAATATTAAGATTTATCCTTACCTTTTTCGTATTGTTCTGCCTGATTATAAGGACATGCTATCAAAGCAAGATGTTTGAATTCATAACAACTGACATGAGAAAGCCACCTCCAAGAACTTTAAAGGATGTTATTAAGCAGGAATATACAATTGTCTTTGATGACAATTTGGTGCTGAATGATTTTTTGCTTAGAGAAATAGAAAGAAGAAGTAAAAAGTAAGTTTGGTCTAAGTTTGATTTAGATGTGGTCGAGTTCTAGTTTGTATCTTGTCTCTGTGTCTTGTCTTTGTTTCTTTGTCTTGTCTTTGCCTCTTGTCTTTGTTTCAATGTCTTGTCTTTGCCTCTACTTCTTGTTTCTGTGCCTTGCCTTTGTTTCTTTGTCTTGTCTTTGCCTCTGCTTCTTATTTCTGTGTCTTGTCTTTGTTTCTTTGTCTTGTCTTTGCATCTGCTTCTGTTTCTGTACCTTGTCTTTGTTTCTATGTCTTGTCTTTGCTTCTGCTTCTTATTTCTGTGTCTTGTCTTTGTTTCTTTGTCTTGTCTTTGCCTCTTGTCTTTGTTTCAATGTCTTGTCTTTGCCTCTACTTCTTGTTTCTGTGCCTTGCCTTTGTTTCTTTGTCTTGTCTTTGCCTCTGCTTCTTATTTCTGTGTCTTGTCTTTGTTTCTTTGTCTTGTCTTTGCATCTGCTTCTGTTTCTGTACCTTGTCTTTGTTTCTATGTCTTGTCTTTGCTTCTGCTTCTTATTTCTGTGTCTTGTCTTTGTTTCTTTGTCTTGTCTTTGCCTCTTGTCTTTGTTTCAATGTCTTGTCTTTGCCTCTGCTTCTTATTTCTGTGTCTTGTCTTTGTTTCTTTGTCTTGTCTTTGCATCTGCTTCTGTTTCTGTACCTTGTCTTTGTTTCTATGTCTTGTCTTTGCTTCTGCTTCTTATTTCTGTGTCTTGTCTTTGTTTCTTTGTCTTGTCTTTGCCTCTTGTCTTTGTTTCAATGTCTTGTCTTTGCCTCTACTTCTTGTTTCTGTGCCTTGCCTTTGTTTCTTTGTCTTGTCTTTGCCTCTGCTTCTTGTTTCTGTGCCTTGCCTTTGTTTCTTTGTCTTGTCTTTGCCTCTTGTCTTTGTTTCAATGTCTTGTCTTTGCCTCTACTTCTTGTTTCTGTGCCTTGCCTTTGTTTCTTTGTCTTGTCTTTGCCTCTGCTTCTTATTTCTGTGTCTTGTCTTTGTTTCTTTGTCTTGTCTTTGCATCTGCTTCTGTTTCTGTACCTTGTCTTTGTTTCTATGTCTTGTCTTTGCTTCTGCTTCTTATTTCTGTGTCTTGTCTTTGTTTCTATGTCTTGTATTTGCTTCTGTTTCTTGTTTCTGTGTCTTGTCTTTGTTTCTTTGTCTTGTCTTTGCCTCTACTTTTTGTTTCTGTGTCTTGTCTTTGTTTCTTTGTCTTGTCTTTGCCTCTTGTCTTTGTTTCAATGTCTTGTCTTTGCCTCTGCTTCTTGTTTCTGTGCCTTGCCTTTGTTTCTTTGTCTTGTCTTTGCCTCTGCTTCTTATTTCTGTGTCTTGTCTTTGTTTCTTTGTCTTGTCTTTGCCTCTTGTCTTTGTTTCAATGTCTTGTCTTTGCCTCTGCTTCTTGTTTCTGTGCCTTGCCTTTGTTTCTTTGTCTTGTCTTTGCCTCTTGTCTTTGTTTCAATGTCTTGTCTTTGCCTCTACTTCTTGTTTCTGTGCCTTGCCTTTGTTTCTTTGTCTTGTCTTTGCCTCTGCTTCTTATTTCTGTGTCTTGTCTTTGTTTCTTTGTCTTGTCTTTGCATCTGCTTCTGTTTCTGTACCTTGTCTTTGTTTCTATGTCTTGTCTTTGCTTCTGCTTCTTATTTCTGTGTCTTGTCTTTGTTTCTATGTCTTGTATTTGCTTCTGTTTCTTGTTTCTGTGTCTTGTCTTTGTTTCTTTGTCTTGTCTTTGCCTCTACTTTTTGTTTCTGTGTCTTGTCTTTGTTTCTTTGTCTTGTCTTTGCCTCTTGTCTTTGTTTCAATGTCTTGTCTTTGCCTCTGCTTCTTGTTTCTGTGCCTTGCCTTTGTTTCTTTGTCTTGTCTTTGCCTCTGCTTCTTATTTCTGTGTCTTGTCTTTGTTTTTTTGTCTTGTCTTTGCCTCTGCTTCTGTTTCTGTACCTTGTCTTTGTTTCTATGTCTTGTCTTTGCTTCTGCTTCTTATTTCTGTGTCTTGTCTTTGTTTCTTTGTCTTGTCTTTGCCTCTGCTTCTGTTTCTGTACCTTGTCTTTGTTTCTATGTCTTGTCTTTGACTCTGCTTCTTGTTTCTACGTCTTGTCTTTGCCTCTTGTCTTTGTTTCAATGTCTTGTCTTTGCCTCTGCTTCTTGTTTCTGTGCCTTGCCTTTGTTTCTATGTCTTGTCTTTGCCTCTACTTCTTGTTTCTTGGTTTTGTTTTTGTTTCTATGTCTTGTCTTTGCCTCTGCTTCTTGTTGCTGTGTATTGTCTTTGTTTCTATGTCTTGTCTTTGCTTCTGCTTCTTGTTTCTGTAGCTTGTCTTTGTTTCTATGTCTTGTATTTGCTTCTGCTTCTTATTTCTGTGTCTTGTCTTTGTTTCTTTGTCTTGTCTTTGCCTCTGCTTCTGTTTCATTACCTTGTCTTTGTTTCTTTGTCTTGTCTTTGCCTCTGCTTCTTGTTTCTGTGTCTTGTCTTTGTTTCTATTTCTTGTCTCTGTTTCTTGTCTTGTTTTTGACTCTCAACTTGTTTCAATGTCTTGTCTAATCTATTTCTTATTTTTAGTCCAAAAACTCTAATACTTCCTGGATACATCAACGCTCTACAGCTTTACTGCAAAAGCATCAATCAAATTTATCCAAAACTTGCATTTTTCATGTCTGAACTTCAAATGATTTATGTCAGCTCAAATTGCAATGGGACTTTAATGCCTGTCAAGGGTTTTCAAATGAGTTCATTGGCAGCTGGACTTGGAATGGCTCGGAACAGCTTTTTATGGCCAGTATTTGATGACGTAATTAATAAATTGATTCCATCGGGAATTCTGCAGCATTTGTTGAAACTTTATGCTTATTTTATGTACGAAAAGTATGACTGGTCACCAAAAAAGTATCCAAAAGTTTTAACATTTGATGATTTATCATTTGGATTTGTTTTGTGGCTGACAGCATGCGGAATGTCTGTCTTAGGATTTTTTATTGAACATTCAAGTCCGTTGATTTTTGAAGGATGTAAAGCTTTGGTCTTAGAGCTTAAAAACTTTGTTGGTCTGTTGTTTTTATTGTATTTAATAAAAAATCGATTGAAGGAGTTAAAATAAATGTTGGAACTTTGGAAGGACTTCCAATTGAGCATTGATTTGAAAAAAAAAATTTCATTTATACGGCATCACTTGTAGTTGCAGGATGTCCTTTAAAGATGATTTTTGTGAACTTTTTGATATTTTTTTGGCACTTCAAGGTTGTGCATACAGCACTATACATACAAACTCAGAAATCAGAGGAGTCTTTGGTGTCAACAGCAATTGCAGACATTTGTGAAGAGCTTTTTGTTAAAA